TTTCCTTGAGGGGGACGATCATCCCCTTGAGAAGAAGATCTTGAATGCTCTGATGATGAAGGTGATTGTTGTAAGTATTAAGTAGTCCTCCGTAGAGGAGATTGTGCGCAAGAGATTAATTAAGCCAGCTTATCACCGGACTGCTTGGGGCGTGATTAAGGTTCGCTAGAGGCTAGCGGTCCTTCGGAGTTATCATATAGAGAGATAGTGATTCTTCTTTTGATTCAATATTTTCTTCTTCTCTCAGAGACAATGTCATTCGCTTTAGGTTGCACATTCCACGATCCACCGACCCGGCCGGTTTCCGGTTTCACCTTGGTTTGCCTGTCACTGGAAGAACGGGTTTCTAGGGTGGTGGGAGGGCATTCGCTTATCAACGGTACCATACCAAGAAACAGCGACGAACCAAGCGACTAGTAGCTGTCTTGGTGGAGATGACCAAGAAACAGAAACTCTCTAACTAAGAATAACCCAAGAATAAATCGAAGAATAATAGATCCTACTAGGTAGAAAGAAAGAAAGAAAGAAAAAATCGAGGAAAGACATGAATCAGATGATTGGGCGGGAGCGGTTCCTGTATCCAAGACATGGCGACGTTGAAAGCGAATCGGCTAAACGGTCCTATTAATTAATTCGTTATGGTTCTCCAGATAACTACAATCAGAGCAGTCAAAGAGGGAAGGACCCACCCACCCCGGTCGGTCCCTGTTGCCTTCCTTCCCCTTTTCGTTTTTCCTTTCTTCTTCCTGCTTCTTAAACACGCCCCGGTCCTTTTGACTGACTCTCTTTCTCTTTCTCCTCTTTCTTCTTCTCGCGACCCTCTTCCCCATCTATCGCCCTGTCACTCGTTCTATCACCCCCTTTCGCTCGTTATCTTCCGCCCTGCACGGGCCTGTTCCCTGTCTCTTAGTCATCCCCCAAGGACCCTGGATCCGTTTCTCTCTTGTCCCGACTCTGGTACGTTCCATCCGTCTCCCCACCATGGATCCCTCGCGCACAACAAGGCAGCCATTTGTTTTCAATTGAATGAATCTCCCGTTGCAATTTCATTCGATCCCCTGCGCTAACCCTTATATCCGCTTCTTCCGCACTACACAGTTTCACATCCTCTTCCCCATACTTTGATCCTTTCTCATTGTTCATATTGGACCGCTCTGTACATTCCCCCTAATCGCTTCAACTCGCTCCCGCGTCTACCATCATCACCATGGTGCGCCTCACATCTTCTCTTCTCCTTGCCGGTCTCGCCGTCTCCCTCCGCTTGGGCCTCCGATGCGCCCAAGTGCAATGCCAACCAAAAGTGTCCCGAGGAATGGCCTTGTTGCTCCGGTGAGTCCTTTCCTCCCCTCACTCTCCGGCCCCCTCTCCTAACACCCTCTCTCAGAATACGGTGAATGTGGGTACCGGTGGTGTTCTGTCTCGGGAGGCTGCGATCCTCTTCTTCTCCTACTCCACCGAAGCCTGGCGGCCCCCGAACCCGTCTGCCAGAGCAAGTCCTACAAGTGGGACAACCTCGACAATGCCATCCTGAGCACCAAGTATCTCGGCGACGCCTCCAAGGATGACTGGGTCTACAGCGGCGATATCAAGCTCGAGGACGGCAACCTGCTGCTCACCATGCCCAAGAACAGTGGTGGTACCCTCGTCGCCAACAACCACTACCTCTGGTACGGAAAGATCACCGCCAAGGTGAAGAGCAGCCGTGGTGCCGGTGTTGTCACCGGTTTTATCCTGCTGGGAGACACCAAGGATGAGATTGATTACGAATTCGTCGGTGCCGATCTGGCCAATGTGCAGACCAACTACTACTTCCAGGGTGTGCTGGACTGTACGTACTTTTTTTTTTCTTCTCTCTTTCCGCATTCTCCCGTGAGCCACGGGCTTGCTGACTCAATCCAGACAACAATGGCGCCAACGCCTCCGTGCCCGGCGGCGACACCTTCGATGAGTGGCACGAGTACACCATCGACTGGAAGCCCGAGGCCATCACCTGGTCCGTGGACGGTGAAGTCAAGCGCACTCTCGAGCGCTCTTCCACCTGGAACGAAACCGGTAATCGCTACATGTACCCCCAGACGCCCATGCGCATGCAGCTGTCCCTGTGGCCCGCTGGTCAGGCGAGCAACGCCGCCGGAACCGTCGCCTGGGCCGGTGGTCAGATCGACTGGAACAGCCAGGATATCCAGGAGAAGGGCTACTACTACGCCACCTTTGGCGAGATCTCCGTCGAGTGCTACGATCCTCCCAAGTCCTCTTACTCCCTCGGATCCAAGTCGTACATCTTCGTTGATGAAGATGGTCTCGAGTCCTCCGTTCGGGTGACCGACAACAGCACCGTTCTCGCCTCTCTCGGTGCCACCGGTCTCGACATGAACCTGGGCGGCTCCGACAGCAGTGGCAATAGCAGCAGCAGCAGCGACAACAGCACCTCCAACTCCATCCCTCAGACTCATATTGGCTCTGGCAACGCGGCCGGAAACTCGGGCAGCACCGGCAACTCGAGCTCCAGCGGCTCCAGCGGCTCCTCGGGCTTCAGCCAGGGTAACAGTGACAGCGGCAGTAACGACTCGAACGGTGCCTCTTCCCCGAACGAGCGTGTCCTGAGGGGTTCTTTCTTCGCTGTCTTGGTTGCTGTCGTGGTTTTGGTTGCTCTCTGAGGAACCAATCCCCTGTGAAATCTAACTTTTGTTCATGTGCACCTTTTTTCTTCTTCCGGCCATCTTCTTGGATATTTTTTTTTATTCTTTTCGAATAGGCAACCCGCCTGCCCACCTGTCATATGATTAGGTATCTTCCTGTTCTATACTACCCTCTGGCTTGCCTTATACCATCCAACCAGATTTTGTTTCTTCACTGAATGTTTTGATGCTTGTTTTATAATGATGCGCATGGGGCCAACGCGCGCTGCGCATCTTACCCTTGATGCACGCTTTGAATACCCTTGTCTCTCCCTCTCTCCCACCTGTCTTGCTTTCTCGAGCCATCAGCCTGTCCTGATAGTTACTACTGCATCGGTGGTGTTAATGAGTATAATACCCTTCATGATATCGAATTAATTGTTAATCCTGAGCATATCCACGGTAACTTCGTAGTAACCCATCGCCATGATTGGGGCCAAGCTATCGTAACCAGATGGGAGATCGATTGAAGCAATGTATTGTATTGAGATAATATGTTGTTGACTAAGGAACTATAAAATTAACCCCAACGCCTTGTATGAAAATATGCTTTGCGATATAGCATCAATGGATCTGACCACAGCCACACTCCGTCTCCAGGCCGCGTTTCTTGAACTCGTGGTGGTAGGTGTCCAGGCCTTCGGTTCGCACATCCTCGCCGAGAGGGTCACCCAGCCAGGTGAACGCCTGGTCGATGCTGACAGATTCGGCGCCAGCTTCCGTAGACGCAGACCAATATGCCGAGCCGCGGAGGCGATTGGTGACGTCGTTCACGTCCAGATTGAGGTAATCCGCCAAGAAGGCGCCGACGTCGGTGTTCTCGTTGTTCCCGACGAGGGCCCAGGCGTCTTTGGGGGAGGAGGCGTAGATATTCACGTCGACACCTGCGCAAATGGATTAGCTAGAGTCCCGCAAGCATATGCGGGAAACTTACCGGAATGGCCATGAGTGGACCAGCCGATCTGGGCCCTCCGACTGACGATATCCGCAAACACGTATTGATGGCTGTAGGGCAGGTGGGGGTCAAGAAGCGCCTCCACCTCTTCGTCCGTGGCGTCGGTGACACCCAGTCCCTCCACCAGGAGCTCGCGCACGAACTTCTTCTGCTTGTTCTTCTTCTTCTCCACTGCGAGGTAGTCCTGCAGCGCTTGATCCATGTACTCGGACGAGTGGCTCGCATTGGCGAGCACCCCCGGCAGCCACTTGTACTCCGGATACTCGTCGTGCAGCTGGCGGGCGGCCGACAGGCCCCCGGTCTCGTGGTCCGACGTGGAGACCAGGATACCAGGGGTGTCGTCCTGCTCGAGGAAGTCCAGGACGGCGGCAAAGGCCTTGTCGTACGCCAGGACTTCGTTCACCTGGGCAGCTGGGTCGTTCCCGTGGCCGGCGTGGTCGATGCGGGAGCCCTCGATCATGATGAAGAAGCCCTGGTCGCTGTCGGCGGTGGCCTGGCTGAGGGCCTTCAGCGCGGTGCGAGTCATCTCCTCCAGGGACGGGTACACGTCGTTCTGGTTGCGGCGGTCGATCTCGAAGGGGATGTCGGTCTCGGCGAAAAGGCCCAGCAGCGGCAGCTGGGCGTCGGCGCCGCCGTTCAGCGAGTCAAACGACCGGCGGTCGTCCAGGTAGTGGAAGCCGTTCTTCTTGGCAATCTCGATCAGGTCGCGGTCGTCGTTGCGGCAGCTGCCGTCGGTCGAGTTGGGCAGGAAATGGCACCGACCGCCGCCGAGCAGGAGGTCGACGACCCGGCCGAGCGGGTGCTCGCCGATCTCCTGCTCGGCGATGCGGTCCTCGTACTGGCGCAGGTTGACGTGCGAGGCGAAGCACGCCGGCGTGGCATCGGTGATCCGGGTCGTCACGACGAGCCCGGTCTTGTAGCCAGCCAGATGGGCAGCCTCTAGCACGGTACCGCACGGCGAGTGGTCGGGCAGCACGGAGATGGCGCCGTTGTAGCTTTTGCGGCCGCACGAGAAGGCGGTCGCGCCGGCAGCCGAGTCCGTCACCAGGCTGGAGCTGGAGCGCGTGCGCGACGTACCGATGATGTGCTGGTCCAGCACGAGCGTGTCGTCGATGGGGAGGCCCTCCGTGAACTGACGGTAGCTCCGCGTCATGGTCAGGCTGGTCGGGCCCATGCCGTCCGACACCATGAAGATCAGGTTGCGCTTGCCGGACGGCTTCTCGCCGGGGGTCGGGGCCGTGCCGTCGTCATGACGGCCGCGGCTCGTCTCGTTCTGGAACACCACGGCCAGCACGATGACGGCGATCGTGGCCAGCATGGCCCAGGTGAACAGTCCGACCTCGCGCCAGAAGCCCCAGCCGCGACGCTCGGGGCTGCGGTGCGTGCGCTCGCCCGTCAACAGAGCATCTTCTTCTTCAGCATTGCGGATGGAGGAGTGTTCGGAGGAGGGGCGCGGAGCCAGCAGAGGCTCGTCTCGCGCCATGACTGAGTCGATGTCGAAGGAGACGGGGAGAGGGTGAGTGACGGACGGTGGGGGGTGATGTTGGAGAAGGTCGGATCGATGATGGAGCTGCTCAAGGAGTTACTCCGCTGCGTTATTCCCAATCCGGCATGGTCGGGCACGGGACTCTGGATCGTCGTGTCACGTGGCATTCTGCTGATGATCCACTGGAAAATGTCTGAGCATTGTGGATAACATTCTGTCTATGGAGAGGCAAAAGAAACAAAATAAACAAAAAGAATGACCTACGCAGGATTCGAACCTGCAATCTTCTGATCCGTAGTCAGACGCCTTACCATTGGGCCAGCAGGCCTGGTTGTTGAAAGAACGGCTGGAATTTGACTACATAAAGCAGTGCAATCTTTGCTGAGACTCAGGGCTAAATGACATTTGAAACCCCAGCAATTATGCTACATTGTTTACTGTCCATGATTAATGAATGTATGCTAGTCAAAACACCGTCATTTCCCATCGCCAAAAAAGAGGGTCGGTGTGGTGTTACAGCGTTCTGTTCCGCGGTATATATATATACTACACCACAATCCTCCATGTGTTGAACCGCGATTCACTAATCTACCCCGAGTAGAAACTGGGCAATTGTATCGACTGCTCCTGGAATTGGTTATATGCCGACTTCAGCGGCCATACTAGGACAAGGCAGATCAATCAATTGCTTCACACCCCGAAACATGACCGGAATCATTCAGCATATCGTAGCATACTCGCCGACAAAGCCCTGGATAGCCCGCAGCATCTGGTCAATCAGAGCATCTGTATGCTGCAAATTCAGAGAAACAAATCCCCGCCGCCCGATGATGATTCCCTTGCGGAGAAGGTAGAAGTAGAGAGCATCGCGTAGAGCCGCGCTCGACTCCCCAGCATAGTGAACACCAACAGCACTGCCATACCCTGTAAACGAGATCTTGTCGAACCCAGCCCGCTGCACAATCTCATTTCCTTGCGCCCGCAGCCTGTCCCCTAATGCATTGATACGACCCAGCGATTCCTCCGTGACCAGCTGCGCCGCTGCCACGGCTACCGTCATTGTGAAAACGTTGTTGTTGAACGTGCCAGAATGGCTAAGCCCAGGGCTACCATTTGCAGATGGCTCGAATTGATTCATAACATCGGCACGACCGCCAAACGCCCCGAACGGGAACCCGCCACCAATATACTTCCCCAGGGTCGTGAGATCCGGTCGAACACCCCAGGCGCCCTGCAAGCCATTGAAATGAAAACGAGAAGTGACAACCTCGTCGAAAATCAGCAACGCCCCTGCAGCAGTTGCCGAATCTCGTAGAGACTGGAGAAACTCCTTTGACGACGGATTCATGCCACCCGCAGCCTGCATTGGTTCGATCAAAATGGCACCGATGGTGTCGTCAATCAATGGTCTGGTCGCATCGATATCGTTGTATTTGGCCAGAACAAAATCATGAGGCAGGTTCATGGGATTTACGCTATCCGCCGTTTTGAAGCTTATAGTGCCGCCGTGGTAGCCATTCTCGAAGACCAGAACCTGTCGTCCGTTAGTTACCGTAGACTGAAAATACCAAAAGCAATTCTTCCACCTTCTTGCGTCCCGTGTACGCCAGGGCGGTGGCTATGGCAAAAGTATTGGCCTCAGTCCCCGAGTTGCAGAAGCGGACTCGCTCGATGCTGGAAAACCTGGAGCACAAAATCTCAGCTAGCTGGGCCTCCTTCTCAATCACCCCGCCTAAGCTGAACCCGGTAGCCAGAGCTTCAGAAACCGCCTGGCTGATTACGGGATGGGAATGGCCATAAAGACCCGCAGAGAAGTCCGAGATGAAGTCGACATACTCACGGCCGTCCAGGGACGTTACCATGGGTCCGTCGCCCGATTTTAGAGTTAGGGGAAAGGGTTCCGAGCATAAGACTGAGCGTGTATTTCCCGCTGGTAGGACCTGCTTTGCTCTCTCAAATGCAGCCCTTGAAAGCGGATTATCTGCGATAAACTCGTTGATGAGGGCGTCCAGCTTAGCGGAAAGAGCAGAGTGCCCTGAGTTGGAAGTGCAGTCGGCCATCGTGTAACGTCAAGCACGCGGACTTGCTTTCGGTGGTGTGATTGCTCGAGAGTATTGCACCCTGAGACGATTGCAAAGAGTTGGAAGGTCAGCCAGAGATACGAACCCCGCGCAAAGGACTAGTAGTATCTTTCCCGATGGTTGTCAAGTCTGTGAAGATCAAATGACGGTATGCTATATTGCATACCGCCTCCATTTCTGGTAGAAACGCTGCGCCATAGAGCACTGATTGACTATCCCCATGCATCATGGTCGAAAAGACCGTACGATACCAGCGTGGTGATTGGGATGCAGTAACTACATCTCGCCCAAAAGGGTAGTCACATGATCCAGGAACGGATATCCGGCCACACCGCCTCACTTCACCGCCCGAGATTCGGCCGTGCAAAAAAATATCTCCCATCGGAGGCATCGCAAAATCCCAATTGTCGACCCTCAAACATTCCAAATGTCCCAGGGCCACTGGGCTGAAGAACCATAATTTGCCGTCCAAAGCCACCTCAAATGCAGTCAATCACCCACAGACCGGGCGACGCGCCCCGCGATCCCCTTCCGCCGACTCTTCCGACCGACAAGGTCCAGGTGTCTTCACCCTTAGGGTCCTGGTCTCATTTAATTGCTGGCGCGTGAGTGGTGCACTTGTCTTATAAGTTATCAAATGACATGTATACTGATATGCATTGGCAGTGCCGGCGGAATGGTCACAGCTGTCCTCACCAGTCCTCTAGATGTTCTCCGAACGCGGTATGTATATCCATCACCAAATCAACACTACGGCGCCTGGATAGTAGACTAACGCATGAATGCAGGTTACAAACAGATTATTACCAGACGCAGGCCTCTGCTACTCGCCCAACTCCCCCAGCGAAGTCCCAAGTCCGACCATCCTTCTACCGTTCCTCTCTCCGCCACTTCCGCGAAACCTTTGACATCCTTTTCTCCATCCACCGCGTTGAAGGCTGGCGCGGCCTGTTCAAAGGCCTCGGGCCGAGTCTGACGGGCGTCGTCCCCGCAAGCGCCGTGAAGTTCTACACGTACGGGAACTGTAAACGGCTCTTCCCCGAGCTGATCGGATGCGAGAAGGACTCGACGGTCGTGCATGCGCTCTCCGCCGCCTGCGCCGGTATCGCCACCGGCTCGGCGACAAATCCGATCTGGGTGGTGAAGACGCGGTTGCAGCTGGACAAGGTCGGCGCTCGCCGATACAAGGGCAGTCTCGACTGTATCAGCCAGATCCTGAAGCATGAGGGACCCAAGGGTCTGTACCGCGGGCTTACGGCCAGCTACTTGGGCACCATCGAGACGACGTTGCACCTCGCGATGTACGAGCGCTTCAAGTCGATTATCTCTCGCAAGGTCGACTTGGAGGGGGATAAAGAGGCGAACCAGTTTGTCCAGGGTCTGGCCATGAGCGGGGCCTCTGGGCTGTCGAAGTTGTGTGCGTGTTTGATCGCGTATCCTCACGAAGTAAGCCTTTCATATCCCGCTACTGTTCTGCGCGTTTACTTGATTTACGTGGTGTCTAACCTTCTGTCCGATAGGTTATTCGAACCAGGCTACGGCAGGCTCCGATGGCAGATGGTCGGCAGAAATACACGGGCATCATCCAGTGCGCGCGGTTGATTCTGAAAGAGGAGGGTGTGATGGCCCTCTATGGAGGCTTGACGGCCCATCTTCTCCGGACGGTTCCTTCCGCTGCTATCACGCTGGGGACATATGAGCTGGTTCTCAAGGTCCTTGAGGGTCGGTAGGTTGAATTAATTAGCAGAGGCGAGACCTCGGATTCCCTTCTCGTGTACGATAGATGTATAAAATGTATAATAGATGTCACATACGCAGGATACTTGAACATAATTGACACGAGGTCCAAAGTAGAGATGATAATATTATACAGACCGCCGACAACTACCCAACGCCTTTTGCTATCTATACAGAACCGGCGATCCTAATTACCTCCCTTCCACCCAATGGGAATCATCGCCGCCGCAATCTCATTGACTCCGCGCTCCGTCGCCAGCATATTAAACTGCGCCGCCGCATTGCGCGTATCAAGGACCTCAACCCTCACACCGAGCGAATTGATATGCCGCTTCGTCTCCGGGGCAAGCGGAAAGACACTCGCGCCCATACCAATGAGGAGCAAATCTACCACCATATCAGCCAATCTATCACGCGACCCCAAACGCAAAAGAGATCACCTACCAGGCCGCGGCCAGACCACATCCAACAGCCCCCACGCCTTCGGATCGACTTCAAACTGGCCCTTCGAATTCACCATGGCGCCCCTCGTCCCGTCCGCCATGGCCTTCCACGGCCGCCAGGCGAACGCCTCGCCACCGACCAGCAGCACGCCGTCGCCGCCGGACACCTTCAGCCCGTTGTTGAGGTGGAACCCGGTGTCGAGGGTGGCGTCGACGGAGGTCGTCGGCATGGGCACGCTGCCCAGCACGTCCAGCGCGGCAAAGTCGGTCTGCGTCGTTTCGGACGACTGCGGGCCGCGGTCGCTGCTGGTGGGCTTGGGGGTGTGCGAGCGCGGGATCATGCGCGCCGGGCGCGCATAGGTGCTGTTGTGCCGGGTGGAGAGTCGCGAGATGGGCGAGGTGGCGCGAGTGATCGGTGCGCAGAAGAGGCCGCCGCTCGGGGTGCTGCTTGCGATGGAGGTGCGCAGGGCGCGGAGCAGCTGGGGTGAGGGCGGATGCATGGTTTGTCTTCTCTGCTGTTCTGCAGGCTGATCGTATGAGAGCAGGCGATTGTGTGTCCTGGTTCGGGTTTGGCGAATTGTGGTTGATGTGGTTCTGGAATCGAGTGAGTTCTGATGTTGGGATCGAAGGTGGTTTCGATTTCCTCCATGTACGTAATCCTTGCCTTAGGGTTGAGGCAGCATAAAGCTTGGCACCATCTGGACTGGGGCCAATCAGATGCCGTCTAATATAAAATCCAACACTCCAATAGTTCGAGGTATTCAGTAGCTATAATAGCTGGGTACTAGATAGCTACGGAGTACAAAAGATGGAAGAAGCTGCCAAGAGTTCCCCCAGATGCTTCATTTCTGTGGTGACGATATTTACACATCGTGATTTGAATGAGAACTTGCTTTGGCCTGGACCTGCGAGTATACGGCCATGGCCTGATCATATGTATGTCTCGTGTAACGTCCAGCCATCCCGGCCCATAATCCCTGACAAGGAGTCCCAGAAGTCCTGGATTTCGTTACAGCCTTCTCCATCTTCGTAATCTCTCCGAATTTTTTCCGCGGAGAAGTTGATGGGGGCACTGGGCGGTATGGCCAAGAGACCCTTCCCCCCTTCCTGCACGTATATTTCAATAATATATTACATTGACTACGTCAAAGATCAATTGAACATCGGATTACTCGTCAAATCCATATGCGAGGCCAGAGGAAGCACGGTCGAAGTATATTGCGTATTTACCGAGTCACGAGGGCGGCAGACCATAGTGCGAATCCACCATAATTCCGGCCGCCGATGTGATGGCTTGAAGAGGCGTAGTTGGAGAGTTGCGCGGCGGCCATCAAAGTTCACCTTGCATCTGTTCCTCTCGCGCTTCAAACGGTATGCTTGACAGCCGGAGCATATGTGACCATCGGTGCCGTGGGAGCTCATAACAAAGAACATCAACCCTAAATCTGCCGTGTGTCGCCGCCGAAACTTTTGGCTAGCGTGGGTCTTGCCAGCAGCAAACCATGATGTCATTTGACTGAAGTAGAGATACGGAAGTAGTATGTGGGTGTGCTCAACTACCGAAAAACAATACTCCTACTGTCTCAATAAAAAAGTTGATCTACATGGCTCCGTAGCAGCATTAATTCCTTCAAGTCATCCTATTCAGGCCAATGCCGTAATTTAGATCTGTTCTTTTCCGCAATACAAGCTGTTAGTCACTCATAAACGCCATGCCACGGAATATCAGGAAACACAATGAAAAGAAGAAAGATATCCAGAGGAAGACCCTCCACATGCCTCCAAACAGTATGAAGAACATAAACCCGAGATTGGTATCGTCTTACCCGGTCACTCTAAGTATAAGATCTCCTTTATACGTATGATAGAAATGACACCAGGATGGTTCTGTGAGCCACCCTTATTAAGTACTTATTCTGTGCTCTATCCTCTTCGTCCGTCGTCACCAGATCTATTAGACGGCTGTCGCATCACATTGGACGGACGATTGCCGTTCCGATCTTCATCGGACTGGCTAGAACTGTCATCGCCGACAGCTCCCGAGGTTGATGCGCTGCGAAGGCGCTGGGCACGGTCCTGGAGGACTTGCGCCTCCGCCGCAGCCCTCTGTGCGCGGATTTGCTTTCGCCACATGCTCGCGTATCGGCCCTTCATCGCCAGCAGTTGGTCATGGGTGCCGCTCTCGGCCACCCTTCCTTCGTGTAGCACCAAGATACGATCTGCCGTCGTAATGGTACTCAACCGATGAGCAATCACGAGCATCGTGCGTCCGCGGGACAAGGTGGACAACGCGCCTTGGATGTGCTCTTCTGTCTCGGTGTCCAATGCAGCCGTAGCTTCATCCAACATGATGATTCGTGGGTTCTTCAAGATCGTTCGAGCGATTGCCACTCGTTGTTTCTCGCCTCCGCTGAGCCGCAGACCGCGCTCGCCGACCTTGGTGTTGTACCCGTCGGGGAAGGACATGATCTTATCGTGGATGCTGGCTGCACGACAAGCCTCGTAGACCTCCTCGTCCGTTGCATCCTGGTTTGCATATTTCAGATTATACATCAACGTCTCGTTGAACAGGACGGTATCCTGCGGCACGACACCGATATGCCTCCGGAGCGAATCAATGGTGATGCTCTCAACATCTCGTCCATCAACCCTGATGCATCCCCGCTCCGCATTATAGAATCGGAAGAGCAACCGGAAGACTGTTGACTTGCCCCCGCCAGATTCACCGACCAAGGCTGTTGTTGTTCCAGGCTCACAGTGGAAGGTGAGTCCATTGAGGGCCGGCTTCCGAGAATCGTATGAAAACTCCACATTATCAAAGGCAATGTCACCCTTGCATCCGAGCAGTGGCTTCGCGCCCGGCGTGTCTACAACAGTAGGCTGTTCTCTAAACAACTCGAGCATCCGCTCGGAGTTGATCAACGCCGATTGGATGGAGCGATAGAAAGTGCCAAAGAAGTTCAACGGCCCCTGAAGCTGCGCCATGTAGGTGAGAAGTAAAACAAAGTCACCCACTCTTCTCTGTCCCAGGGACACCTGGTAGGCAGCGATGAAACACGCGATCAGAAGACCCAGCATGAAGACGGTGTTCTGAGACGTATTCATCAAGTTCAGTGAGAACAGCACGTGGTATTCCGCCCTCTGGAAAGAGGAAACCGCGCCACGATACCGCCCAAACTCGTAATCCTCCGCATTAAAGTACTTGACGGTTTCGTAAGATACCATTGAGTCATTTTTCACGGCGTCCTCTTCTCTCGAAGCATTGACCATCTGCCGCCGGATTTCTGCTCGCCATTGGGCCATGCGAACTGTGACGTAGAGATAGCAGAACGTTATGATGGTGACGACCAGAGCATAGTAGGCGTCAAGGCGGATAAGGAGAAAGACAATCGCTACGCAGAGATCAATCAACATCGGCACAACCCGGAACGTGACCTGTTCGAGGAAGGTGTTGATCGAGCTTCCCTTGCTCAGCGCAGACAGTACTTCACCCGTTTTCTTCCCCAGATGGAAGTCGAGACTGAGCCCGTGCACATGCTCAAACGCTGCGGTCGAAAGCTCCATGTAAGAATACTGGCTCACAGGAATCCAGAGGCTGGACCGCAACGATCCAATGAGGCCCTGGTTGCCTTGCAGCCACCGGTAAAGAATGTACAGACAAATGTCAAACCACGGTACCCGAAGGGGTCCGTCATTCTCGGACAGCTTGTTCGTGATACGTGCAACCTGGAAAGGAACCAGAACGTTGACCACCCGCTGCAGAATAATCAACACGAAGCAAATGACGACGATCACTTGCAACCGGCGGGATTTCGATGGCCAAAGGTACGGGAAGAACAGCGAGTAGCCGCTAAGGTACTCCCACCAGCTGGTGGACGGCACTGAAGTCGGGCGAACCCACGGGTCCGCGGGTTTCGCGGACTGCTGATTCGCAGTGCCGTTTGTTGAGCCATAAGCATGCCCATTCTCGGCATGAGAGGGGTCCAGCAGCCCCGTGGTTTCGGAGGCATCATTGGCATGATGCCGCGATGCCTTCCAGACATTGGTCCTCTGGCTGATCGAGTTAAAGAGATAAAGCGAGCTCAGGGTAGCTAGAATCAATATTCTGATGCAAGCTGAGATGAGCTCCAATGACTCCCACGGCGTGAGGCCGTTCCGCAGAGGACCTCCTGTGGGGTCACCCACAATTGGTTCATGATGAACCCCGGCTTTGATGGAAAGGGAGACACCGAGAATGGCGAGTTCAATGGGTAGGGCTACCAGCCATGGGACGAATTGTGCAAATGTCGGAGAGGGATTCGTATCTAACAAGGAGACAAGGATGATCGAATAATCAAAGAACGAACCAACAACGTAGATCTAGAACATATTAGATACCAAGATCATACCGCGTTCCGTGGCGAATTATCGGTGTAGAACAAAGACACGAGTCACCTACCACAACCGATTGGCCACACCACCATTGTTCGTCCCGGGATACCATAACATGGGCGATATTGAGGGCCGCATCGGCGACAAAGGTGACCAGGATCCCAACCAATAACCACTTAAAGGCGAGTTCGGTATTCCGGGAGAATTTTCGAGGCGGTTTCACCACCGCTACCGTGCTTCTCGATCGTTTCGGGAGGGGTCTGCCACCGGGTCCTGTGCGCACGGCACTCGCGGTCCTGTTGACATTTCTGGCGGTGAGGATCGAACACGCCACAAAGGACGACACAAAGACGAGAAGAAGCAGTATGGGACAAGCTGTCCGGAGGTACTCCAACAGCTCACGGGTGGCGTGATGCGAGCCCATTATGAAACAGTCCTCCACAAGGTCCTACAGATCAAAAATATCACTGGGGTATTTCCATGACACAGGAACTCCGTCCAACTCGAGAAACCGAAGAGTCGGGCCGGTCGAGAGCGGTGACGGGGACAATTCGGAAGGTTGGAACCGTCGATCTTTCGAAGGGAGACTCGAGCCTAGTTAGCTCGCAAGTAAATGGTCCGTTCGGCGCTGGGAGGTGCCCAAAGAGATCGACAGGCACGTGGGACCGTATTTCCTGCTATAAATCTTGTGAAAGGCTTCTCGGTTGGTTCCAATGCTCCAAAAGGGAAAATTGCGTGGTCAAGGATGCGAGGCGGAGGACCGAAGGAATTAACCAACAAACGGGGATTCAATGGAGTATTAATGAAGTGGAAAGAGGGAAAAAGAGACTTCCCAGGCAATGAAATAGATACACAAGAAAAGAGGATTAACTAAAAAGGGCTATATGGGAAGGGACAGAAACCCCAAGATGGACCGCTGCACTCGACGAAACTAAAAGAAACGCATTCAATCGAGTACACGGCACGAGGAGAGGAGGGGGAGGGGAAGAGGGGAAGAGAGAGATAGAGAGAGAGAGAATGTATGTGAAATAGGAAGAGTAGGAGAGAAACGAAGGGAGAGAGAGAAAGAAGGAGAAGAGAAGAAGAAAGAGAGCAGAGACGCGAGAGGAAATGATCGTAGGAGAAATGCAAATAGTGACTTGACGGAGGAGAATGACGGTGTGGTGTGGATGCCGGACCAAGTCTCGACTTTACTGGGTACAGCTGCTACCTAAGCTTGGGGTGGCCCCGGAGGCAAAAAAAAAAAAAAAAGAAAAAAGGAAAAACCACCCAAAATAACGAAAAAGACAGAGTCGGGTATTTTGCTCGTAAAGGCTGTACCAGTCATTCTATCTACTAAGGTAGGTCGACACACTCGAGCTGAGAGGCAATTCTTCGACTGATCTTCGCCCGATTTATAAGAAAGGGGCAACAAGGGAAAATAATAATAATAATAATAACGAAGGGGTTTAACGGTTGTATGTACGTATCGGTTCCTGTAGGATTTGAGGCGCATATCGGAGTTTTTCCTTTTCTTTTTCCCATTTTTTACCTGGAATTCACAATTTCCTGCTTTTTATCCCTCCTTCGTCTGGAGCTGTACGTCTTGTCCTTGCAGTGGTTTCTATACCTCATGCCTGCGTGATTCAGACCTCCGCTGATGCAGGCAGTCAGCAAACGACGGGGCTGCACTGTTGTCACTTGCCTCTTCCGCTCCCTGAAGTTTCTAGACTTGCATTCAACGCGCATCATGGACACTCTTCCCCAGCTGACTGGATGCAGGTTGTTCGTATGCCCGATGGGAACAGGGATTGGAACGGAGGCGTTCAATCCTGCGGCCAGATGCTTCCCGAAGGGATGGCGATTGAACCGGGGCACCCGTACCTGAAGATAGCTTGTGGGTTGTAGGATAGCAATGAATGGTTGCAGGGTCATGGATAGTAGTCTGGAGCTCCCATGTCAGTTTCGTTACACGGTAGAGATGAGTATGAAGGAATTCGGGCCGATGGAGATCATTAGCAAACCAGGTCAAGGGTGACCGTGTTTGTGGTGTAATAGGGCAGATATACATACCATGCGCAGTACTCCATGGACTGATAGACTCGCGAACAGGTTTCATCAAGGGACTGATGCCTGAAGTATTAATACCTGGCGGGAGTAGAGCTGTAGACACCTAACAAGCAACCGTCATAATTGATGACCTTAATTGGTAGGGATGAGAGATGCTGATCTCGATGGACAAGGGACGGATGGGCTGTGGTAGGATGGAACCAGACGAGATGGATCCCACTAACGCCCTTCTGGATGTGTGGATGATGAGATGGTCTGTGAGCTGCATGACATGGGTATGAGCCAGGATTGGAAGCGGGGGTCTGAACCCATCAACGACTTTAGTGTCCATGGGCCATGCGACTTTGGGAATCGGGGTTCAGAGGAGCCTCCAATCATTTATTCTTGATGGCGCTTAGGAGGTCTGGTATGTTCCAATAGGAAGGCCTCCCCGAAGAATCCTATTGTCCCATGGTGAGTTGTATCTTTCCATTATTACTACCTACTACAGAGGTACCTACTACTACTTGGTGGTGTGTGGTGTCAAACTACTTAATTACCTACCCACCCGTATCCCGTATCATCAAGCCCTTGGGCAGGAGGGTAGAAAGATCCGCACACTGGCTATCATGTCATCGGTGGCTGAACACAACGCACTGTCAGGGGTAGCAATCAGAACTCATTCCATGGGAATAGGAGGGAGCCCAAATAGACAGACGGTATTTTCTTTGGGATACCTAACTGACCGCTATCACCAGACCAACTCCGCCATGATAGATGACGAAACCTCTCCAGGAGATCTGGGCCTGTGGGGAGGGAGGTACGGCGCATCGTTCGTTCTTCAAGTCCAGGGTGCCATGATCTATCCCTGTCCCACTCTGGCGGTTCCAAGTGACCGGGTGATCTAAAACCCATCGGTGGAATGTCTGTACCCGAGTGAGTATTTTTCATTTAGCATGTATGAAAGCATGGGAGGCCTGGAAGGCCTGGATGGCATGGGAATTGTATGATATCGGTACATTCACCCAAAAACACCTACCTAAGTATTTACTAGAACAGATCAGTAGATGAATAGAGCATAGAATAGGGGGAAGGATAGACGCTGTCTCTACTCCCGGCCCTTTTATCTGATTGCACTGTTAATTTACCTACTTGAACATCACGATTATTTTGCAAAACTACCTACTACGTATACAGCTGTCCTACACACACCGCCTTTCCCTCGACGCATGGATCCATGCATGCCATCTGCTAAGGGAACGTTGCTCTCTTTCCGGGCAGTTCATTTGGAGACAGCGTTTACCTGCATCCGTCCAGCCAAACCGCACCAAACAACAATCCGAAAATTATCAACCCATTGTACACCGGGATGTTTGCTGGTGTCATTGGGCCTCGAGGATACTTCGAGGTCCATCAGCTGGACAGGTCGAAAATACCGGTTACCTGAAATCGTTACCGATGGGTGACCGTCCCTCCAGCTAATCAGTCACGCGTTCTCGCCACTCTATTCTTATCCACGTTGGTCTCGTCATCACCATTTTCTCCCTCTCCATCAACCACTCCATCAACCATCGCGGTCGATTTTTATGCACCGTTGTTCCCCCCCACGCTGACTAATCTATCAATGCAATCTGCAGCAACACAACGTCCTCGCATCCCATCCGAAAGCAAGGTTCCCATTCCCATCTCTCTCAACCAGTTGGTCCCTCATATCGTCCCTTACCGTCGCTTCGTTCCCCCTTTCTGAACCGTTCCGCAGATGTTTGGTCGCTGAACATGGACCCCAACTCTCATCAACCTAAGTCGTGGTAGGACGCGCGACCTCTGTTATTGAAATCATGTCCGAGTTCTCGCGACTGCCCACTCGCGGTGGCAGCGGCAGCAACAGCTCTTCGCCAGCCCCCCCTCCTCCCCCTCCAGCTCCTGTGCAACAGGCCAAGTATTCCAACCGGGCGGCCAGTGCTCTAGCCAGATTTGCACAGCCCTTCTTTTCAGGGTCCAGACCCCCCAGCCCGCAGACGTCAGGCGGCGCTCGTGCAGACTCACCTGCTGGTCCCCGGTATAATAGATCCAGATCATTGTATAGTCTCTCCCCACCCCCCCTTCCTTTCTCCCTCTCCTTCTACGGCCTAGTGTGGTTTCTCTAGTTGTTATCTCAGCCACTTCTTGCTCCCTCTCATTCGACGGATGATTGTTTGTTTCATACCTCCATAATATGCAATCTCCCATCCCTTCCGTGGCAGGTTCAAGGCGTCATTCTAACAACCACCATTTAGACCCGGGGAATCCCAAACAGTCACCCATAAAACGGGGATTCCCATAGCTGCGTTGGATATTTCCCCTCAGCGGACACATGCAGTAGTCGGGGGCAAAGAAATCCTCAAAACCATTCGTGTCTCGCCGGATCATTCGTCCGAGGAATTCAACCTGCGCAATGCGATTATTAGTTATTCGTCTACGCATCACATCGCAAATGGACCTTCCGCGCGGCACAAAGAACAGCTGATGGTCCGCGATGTGAAGTGGTCACATGGCGTCTATGACCAGATCATCGCCACTGCGGTGGCTAACGGCCGCATCGTGCTCTATGATCTTCACCGGACAGGTTTGGAATATTGCCGCTTCATGGGGCACAGCCGTCAGGTTCACCGACTGGCGTTTAACCCTTTTATGCCAACATACCTCTTGTCCGGAAGTCAGGACTCGACCGTCCGGATGTGGGACTTGCGCGTGCCCTCCACAGGGCGTGGAGTTCCGGTATCGGGAAGTAAGCACTTGTATAACGGCAATAGTGATGCTGTCCGCGATATCAGGTGGTCTCCCAAGGACGGGGTGGTCTTTGCAACTGCTACCGACAGCGGTACCGTCCACATTTGGGATTACCGCAACCCTAGTGCTCCTATGCTACGGGTGACCGCACATGACCGGCCGTGCTACTCCATTGACTGGCATCCTGACGGGACGCACCTTGTGAGCGGCGGCACCGACCGACAAGTCAAGGTCTGGGATAGTTCAATTACCGACCGGAGGCAAAAGCCGACGTTCCAGTTCCGCACCCCCCAGGCGGTGATGAATGTACGCTGGCGCCCGCCGTCATGGGCAAAAGAGCCGGAGAGCTTCGGGGATTGGCAGTCGACCCAGCTCGTGACATCTTACGACAAAGAAGACCCCAGAATTCACCTGTGGGATCTCCGCCGACCTCATATTCCCTTTAGAGAATTTGATCGGTACGACTCCCGCGCGGCAGATTTGCTGTGGCACTCGAAGGACCTGCTGTGGACGGCGGGGGAAGCCGGTGTATTCACCCAAACCGATATCCGTTATGCCCCGCAGGTAGTCAATCAACGGCCAACGTGCTCAGTCGCCTGGAGTCCAAGTGGTGAGGTGGTTGCTTTTGTCCAGAAGCGCCCCAGACGGAGTACCCTGGGTCTCAGCGCCACTGAATTTATAGGCCACCAAGAGGAGGAAAGCAGTAGCGGTGAAGCGCTGAGTCAGAGTCCGGTTGACGACTTTCTTGACGAGCCTTCATTCGTCCCCATCCACCATCACCGTAGTAAGTCGGCTAGCGTTCGGCCATCGAAATCTCTAGGAAGTACACCGCCGGGGCTTTCAGATTCCAACTCTGTGCTCTCCCTAGAGAAAGTGATGTCCAAAGTTAGGTCTCCCGGACCTCACCAGATTGGTATTACCGGGAGCATCCCTGGGGCGACGATGAGCAGAGACGTGTTCCAATATCTGGCTCGTCATTATGCCCCGTTACTTGACGACCTTAATCTCATGTTTACCGACCCCTTGCCCTCCTTGCTCGAGTCGTTAGGGCAGAATGCCGAGTGTGCTGAGGATATGTCGCTGGCCAAACTGGCACAGACCTGGCGAATCGTCAAGTTTGCGGTCATACAAGAACTCCAAGTGAAGGCTCGGGAGGAGCGGCGATCTGGGGAAAAGCGTTCTCGCGGCCTCAAAAAGAAAACGTCGAAAGAGGGCCCGAGCACCGAAAGGACACGGATCTCGGAGGATGGAAAGCATGATAAGATGAGGAATCACTTCTTTAAAGGCGTCATGGAGACCAAAGCAACCAGGCCATCCCTCTCGGACACTGAGCCTACATCGAGCATGACTACGCCTCTTGCACGTCCTTTACCTGATTCTCCTCTCGGGTCTTCGGATAGTTCCAACTCACACATGTCGTCTCTTAACGAACAAGATATTCAACCCCTCCCGCCATCAATCTTGAGTTCAAACCAGGGCACCATGAATTCTAATGACTGGTCATCAATGTCGGATATCGAACCGCGACCCATCATTCAACTTGAGCGCAGTCAATCAAATGCCAGTGAAGCACGGTCCATGGTCGACAGTGCTCCATCTGAGTCAATACATGGATCCGTCCCCAATGCCTTGGAGGACCAAAGGTCGGCCCCACGAGAAATTGGCAGACGGACGGATTGGCGTGGTCGGGACCGTTCCATACCCGAGGAGGACGAATATGATCAAAAGATGGAAGATAAGAGGGCCGCTCTCCGTGACTACAAGTCGTTCCCGAAAAAAGTCCTGTCGCTTGAGTCTCACGCGGAGTCTACCGGGCCCCCGGGCTTCCAGCGTCACGAGTCGTCGGAAAGCTTTCCTATGTTCTCAGCATCTACTGAGAGCTCTCACCCTTCAAAATCAATGGGCACCTCGTTCTCTTCGGCAAAATTGTATGATGTTGATGAGAACGCCGATCCAACCAAGGAACCAGACATCAATACAAGTGAAACACCCAACCAAACCATACCTCGAGCTCGGAGTGACTCGGTCATGGAATCCGGTAAATCCGGTTCTGTCCTTGACGAAGAACTGCAGGGCAACGAGACTCTTGACGGACCGGTCCCGGATACTAATCACTTCCATCTGGAACGGCCTTCCAGTCCTTTCCTATTGGTGATGGAATCGAGTCCCCTAGAAGTTCTTCGCCAGAAGGACGAGGAGTTGGCAGCCGATCAATACACGAGTACTCCCGGTCCAGCACATCAGGTTCTATCTGAGTTAGAGCAAGGCCTCGCCGATGTTGTCATCCCGATGAGTCTTAATGAGACAGGATACAAGCCTTGGAGCGCCGGGGTCCTATTGAAAGAAGCAATACAGCATTACCACAGCAGCACCAATGTTGATATCCAGTCGGCTGCTCATCTGCTGCAGAAACTACGAACGCTTTTTGAGGATTGTGAAAAGATTCTTCCGAACGAGGAGTGCGAATTGATATTCAAGTCCTACAACGAGCATCTCATACGCCAGTCTATGTATATTGAAGCTGCCGAGCTCCGTCTTCTCTGTGCCCCGTCCTACCCAGCGGTCTACGAATACGCCCAAGTTGACACAACGATGAATGTGTTCTGCTTTACATGCAAACGACCTTATGATAACCCAATTCACGACAACAGGCGCTGCCACCGCTGCAACACGCCCCAAGAACCTTGCGCAATCTGCATGAGCCTTGAACCACCTCCGGAATGGGTTGCTGAACAGTCTAACCTCTCCTTACCGTCACCACAGGAGCTGGATTCAGAGGCTGTCTCGCTACCACTGTCCTCATCTCGCTCGTCGTTAAAGACGGAGCCGATGCTTTCGTCTGAACTGCAACAACTCGAGGAGCAATACCTGGGTCCCTACCACTCTCCCCGGCCAAAGGGGTCTACTCTGTGGACCTGGTGCCAAGGATGCGGCCACGGAGGGCATCTGGCCTGCATGCAAACATGGTTGAACGATACCACGGTCAGTGAGGGCGGTTGCGCCACCCCAGGCTGCATGCACGACTGTGGACCAGGCCCACGTCGTGAGCACAATCGCGCCGTGCTCCTGGAAGAGTCCAAGAAGCGTGATTCTGCGAGTCGAAGAGCTGGCGTGGGTTTCGTCAAACGCGACACCTGGGCCAAAGGGGAGAGCAAAGCAGTCGAAAAGGTTCGAGGGATGTTGGGTACTGGTGCATTGGGGGGTGTGACCACTGGCGGCAGCAATCCGTCCGCTCTGATGTCTCCCAAAAAGGTGCGGCTCGTGACTCCTAGTGAACAAGGTAGACGTCGCACCTCCACCAGGACTAGTATCGGAGGGGGCAGTGGATTGAGTGGTTGAGACGAGGGGACATTCTTTGCTTTCATGCCTCCCAATATGGCCAGATCTTGGGAGCACCATGCCATGGATAATATCCACTGGCAATTTGCTTTACATTATGTTTGATACCAGTAGATATGTACATTATGAACGACTTAATGTGATGAATACCCAAACCAATCCAGTAACTGTCCAAGGGATATATCACCGAAAAATAACAGTGCAGTCGTGAAGATTAGAACTTGCGCTTTTTCTTTGCGGGCGCCTTCGCCTTCGCTTCAAGTTGTCTCTTCAATTCCTCGCGTCTGCGGTCTGCTCTTTCTTGTTCCGTCTCCTCTTTCTTGGGTTCCTCCTGCGTTTGCCGTGTTTCTTTTTCGACAGACGGTGGTTTTGCTGGCTCGGGCTTGGCCTTCGCTGTCTCGCTCATTTCAGTGTCTTCTTCAGCCCTTCGAGGTGGCGATGGCTTTCGAAGGGGAACTGTATCGGTGGTGACCTTGGAGGCTTTGCCACCTATGACACCCAGTTTACCAGCACGTTTTGTTCTCGTTGCCGGTAAAGGAGACTTCTCGGTAGATGATCCTCTTGGCTCGTCCTCCAACGACGTGGGAGACGTCGATTGAGCTGGGGCCGGATTCGCTTCTTTCTTCTTCTTACCACCAATCACCCCTAGCCCATGCGGCTTTACTGATGGCTTCTGAGCCTGTTCCTTATGCTTGGGGGTCGCTGGTGGTGAAGGCGAGGCTGCCCGCCCATCGGAACCGGAATCGGTTTTGTCTTCGTCCGTTAAGAGGTCATTTTGATCATGCGTTTGTGATGACTTCTTTGTTGTGACATCCCGTTCTGGGGCAGGAGGTGACTTCGGTGGTGCTTGATGGAGCTGCTTTTTACCCCCAATCACACCGAGGCTTTTAGGCGGTTTTGATGGCGGTTTCTGTCGCTCAGGGAGCGGTGATTTCTCGACGGGCTCATCATCTGTCCCTTGGTTTTTCTCTGTGGGAACTGGAGATTTCTCCCTGGTAGCTTGAGGGCGTTTGAGTCTTGGTGGCGTCTCTTGGCGCTAGAAATTGTTCAGTATCATTGGCAGAGTGTGGTATGTAAAGACGGGGTCGTACCTGAAACTCATCGTCGTCTGTTTCTCCTCCGGAATCGGTTTCCATCTCGAGATCATCGTTGGAGACCTTAGGTTGTGGTTTTGGCGTCTCTCTTTGGGGCGGAGATGAGCGATCAGCATGATCCTCGATTGTCGAGATTTCTTCCCACCACGCGTCTGGTGGCGGATGGAGCTTCCCCGTCGACTCTGTGCCCCCAGTGCCAGAGATTTCCGCAAGTATGTTAGAAGCAAGGTCTACGCCTGGAGACGATTTACTGGCTTCATTAAGCCAAGCCTGTTCGTCGAAAGGCGCAACACCTTTGATGTATTTGGCCGCTTGTGCCAGGGTGGTGCCCTTTCGACTAGAGCGCAAGCCAGATATGCCGGGGAATATCGTGCTTAAATCAATGCCGACTGCTTCGATCTTGTCGAATAATTTTGCGAGAATCCAGTCTTTCTTGTGCAGTTGGTCGATCAGTGTCTTCTGGCGGGACTCCCGGTCTACTTCTGCCTCGATCAAGGGGAGAAGGAGATGCGCGGTGGTGGAAGATGGCTGTTCTTTGCTCAGATACAAAGTCCACCTGAGCGGTTCGAGCGGAGCAGGTAGTTTGATGGAGGTGGTCAACTCCAGTGAGCCTGAGCTTCTATGATGTAAAGTAGTGCTACTTCCAGGCGCGTGCTGCAGCGCATCACTGATCTTTTGTAATAGGAGTCCGAACTGCTCTGGATCTTCGCTGGGGTCAATTGTGGCATCGTCTTTGTCGGCTCTCTTCAAGATAGCCTGACGGCTCATGTGTTCGGACCAGATGTTAGTCAGGTCTGTCACGTAGAGCTCATAGCTGGTGGATGTAGAGATATATTTGTAGAGAAGAGGAGGTGAGCCGGTTGCCCTTGACAGATGTAACTTTTTCCAGGGTGCAGACATCTTGGGCAACCCATCAAGAGGAGATGATGCTGAGAGAAGTGAAACGACTACGTTAAGTAGTTGGCTGCCTGTGTGTAGTGCAGAGGATCTGTCATCACAGCCAAAGGCTGAACTTAGGCGGAAGCGGAGAGCTCAGCGCATAGATACCTGGATGCTCCCCGTTCGGGCAACTTTGCCGCGGTCCCGCCCGACCTTCCCGCTCTTGGCGCGTAACCCAGACCGTTCGATCTCCAGTAAGACAAGAATTCATCCACATCTCACCGGCTTTTCCCACCCCGAATCCAACCCCTTCCCACATTCACGCGATATTCATTTGCCGAGGGAGACTTCTGTCAAGACTCCAGGAAATGTCGGCGCGAATTCCCGACCGCACGAGTTCGAAGCGAAGCCGATCGCGATCCCCGTCGTCGCGTCAACCGCAGAAGCTTCCCCGCAGACACGACGAGAGGAACTCGCCGTACGATGGCCGCAGAGGCGAAAGCGATGGAAGGGGGAGGTCAGTGCAGTCGCAGGGATGGAACATGAAGGACCAGGTGCGACTGAACCAGCTGCAGGAAGATGAGCAGGTGCGCGAGTGGGTGGCGCAAGAGGACATCTTTGTGCTCAAGCAGGCGAAAAAGAAGGCCGAGATCAGAGTCAAAGAAGGGCGGGCGAAGCCGATCGACTGGCTCACCGTCACTCTGCGGGTGATCGACCCTACGAGAAACCCGCTCGATGATGAGATTGCGGACTCGGAGCTGGACATCGTCGACCCGGATGGGGTGTTTGAGGGCCTTTCGCCGAGCCAGCTGTCGGATCTGGAGAAGGACATTGATACATTCCTGAGCCTGGAAACCAACTCGCAGAACCGAGATTTCTGGAAGGTATGTTTTGGACTTCCAACTAGTTACGCCACGTGGGGAGACTAACCTGGGACTGTGTTTGCTACAGACTATGAAGGTGATTTGTCGAGACCGCCAGAAGATTACGGCCCCCGAGGGACGCGCGCTTAGTTCGGTCGCGGCGGACATTAACAAGCTTTTGAGCCCGAAGACCTACGAACAACTCCAGACCCTGGAAGTACAGGTTAGGAAGAAGTTGGATTCGAACGAGCCGATCGATACGGATTATTGGGAGGAGCTCCTGCGCAGCCTGACAGTGTGGAAGGCCCGTGCAAAGCTGAAGAAGGTCTACCAGGCAGTTATTGATGAGCGGGTTCGAGGACTGCGCCAGCAACAACGTGAGGAAGCGGAGTCTGTACGTGCCAAGCTTGCTCCTCTTGCCCCGGTGGCACAGACGAGTACTGGGGGGCCGATCATCAATCAGAAGGAATTCAAGGGCCTTGATCCTGATCCGATGTTGCAAATTCGGCCGGAGGACAAGGTCCTAGAGGTAGTGGATGAGGCGGCTTTCTTGAACCAGGTGGTGGGTTGTTTCGCTCCCGCATGATGTTTAGTTCTACTGACAACTCTATCAGGCCCGCGATCGCCAAAAGATCCTGAAGATGGGCTTTGTTCCCATCCGTCAACGACAGGTGGAAAAGTCTTCCGCTGCTCCACTGAATCAAGCATCGAACGCGCCCGTGGCAACTGCGTCTACCCGCTTCTCAGCGATACCAAATGAAGACTTCTCTCAGGCAACAAAGGCCCTCTATGAACGGGAACTTGCGCGAGGAGTGAGTGAGAACGAAGAAATTTTCACCGGCGAAGAAGCCGTGAGTACTGCCTCGCGGCCTCAATGGGCAAGCAAATACCGGCCACGGAAGCCCCGATACTTCAACCGTGTCCAGATGGGCTACGAATGGAATAAGTACAACCAGACACATTATGACCACGACAACCCACCGCCGAAAGTTGTGCAAGGGTACAAGTTCAATATCTTCTATCCTGACCTTATCGACAAAACAAAGGCCCCAACATATCGCATAGAGCGTGAGCATGGGCGAAAGCGCGGACAGTCGTTTGCAGCTGCAGGAGAGGAGGATACATGTCTCATTCGATTCATGGCTGGACCACCGTATGAGGACATTGCATTTCGAATTGTGGACAAAGAGTGGGATTACAGTGCTAAAAGGGAGAGAGGGTTCAAGAGCACGTTCGACAAGGTATGGACGTCTTGTTGAGTCCGCTCAATGGTGCAATGAGCCACAGACTAATCGGTCTTCGCAGGGCATTCTCCAACTGCATTTTCAGTTCAAACGTGTAAGTCAAGCCTCGGATTTCGTAAAGAGAGCCGCGATGCTAATCGTTTGCAGGTATACTACCGGAAGTAGAGTTGAGGCTAGAAATATGATCGTCTGTTGAACATCTTTCCATGCGCTCCGTCGTTTCATGTCCATTGCATACGCTACTGTAGGGCGTCGGGTCTAAGCGTGGTCGGCGAGATGGACCTGCATCGGCGCGTCTGATTGGACTGGAAGTATCAACCACCGGCTTCAGTATTGGATTGCGCGAATCGCAGCATATACTAGGTATATCAACCACACTGAGATGCACTGAGACGCACTGAGACGCACTGAGACGTATCATACCGTTGCACAATATTTCTGCCTATATCAATGCGGCTTTAACTTTTAGGCGCGCAGATCATGTCAGGACCTCCCACGTGTGGGTGACAGAATGCTTATCTACACCCCAACACCCTATTTGAACCACCCTCATCTCCTTAATGAGCTCTATAACCACCGGCCTCGCGAGATGCGCGCCACCATCATCGATACAGAATCTTACATCTTCATCACGTGAGACAGCGGGGATGGAATGGAGCTTACGACTCAGCTCTCCCCCCCGGTCAGTGGACATGTTTTGGACGGAATTAAGGGGCGGGAGACGCTGCGATGAAGCGGCTTTGGTGCCACAACGCCACCTGCAGATTGTCTCAAGGGTTCCGGCTGGCCGGGGAAGCGGAAGATGGCTTCAACCTCTGCACGATAGCTGCAACGACCATCGATTATGGCAGAATGCCAGTTCCAGAAGCACCTGCCTCCGGGCCTTCGGCTGTGGTCAATGCGATAGTGCGAAAAATTGATGGCCTACTGCAAGTTGCCGGCTAACTACTTGTCCATTCCGGCTGTGTCAGCATTATTGTCAGGCATCAAGTACTTCCATTGCAGGGTTGTCACACCAGATCCACCCGCTACATAGGCTCTGTGATATCCTTGGCGCCCTTGTACCATGGGGAATTCTCGGTGCCACCGCCGTAGGCCCAGATGAAAGAAGCAGCAGACTGTCGCGGCGGCTACATCCCCGGAGCATATGATGGAGGCTAGTGCTTTTTCGGATCATGTTGACTTGCGTTTCTTTTTTCGTCCTTGGGACGCTCTCGATGGGCCTTTGCCTTTCTTTCCAGTTCTAGTCCCCTTGGATCGTACTTAGTTCTTTCCTTTCTTTCCGATCTTTTCTTTTTTGGCATCCTCCTTGGTATTTAGCGTCTGCGGATGCATGGTGCTGGGTATTTGCAGCGAAGAACCATTGCCTTATGCGCTGGCAGAGCTCGCCTTGCCGCGTCTTTTGCAGCTCTCTGACCTGAATGGTCACACGTCTTACCTTCGGTTTTAATTTTATTATCCTAAATTTTTAATCGAATTCATTTTTCTTTTTATTTATTTATTCATTTATATTTTATTTTATCTTTTCTTCTGGAATTATTTGGATCGGGGTATCTGTGGCTGTACTTCAGCCCCTCAGTACCTATATCCAAACCCGGTTTCTTCGTCACTGGCTGAACTTCTCCTCTCTCTCGTTCTTCACCTTGACATAGCTATGTCTTCTATTCACTGACTCAATTCCACCGTCCCATTCGCTACGGTATCTCCCCCTCAAGATCTTCCTGGTTTTTCCGAGAGACCACAAGCAGACCAGTCGAAATCGAGCTGGCCTCTTCAAAGATGGACCGCTTTTTGCCCTCTCACACTTTGTATTCTGGAAACATTTTACCCGGAAAAGGGACGCTCCATCCTTATATCTCCAGTCAATCAGGGTCATCCTCTGCCATGATGGGTGGCACTCGTCTAGAAGCTCCCTCTCCCCATACGAATCCCTGTTCTACCATCGAAAAGTGGACGAGTTCCAGTTCCAACAACCAAGGGGTTGTGACACCAGCCCAGAACCCATGGCATGCTGAAGCCATTCAAGGATACGCATTCAGTCCGTCGCACTCGCCTACGGGGCCAATGCCTGCGGAGGTCCCCCGTCTGTTCCCCTCCTACAATGACGACTGGTCCTCATCTTTGGCAACGTCTGGTTCGGGTCAATTCAAACCAGGGCTACGACGCCTGAACGAGCCTAAGAATTGTCCAGACTGGACGTGGGACTCAGAGGGAAGCGCTTCGTGTGATGCACGGCACGACCCCTCCTACGCTTCTGTGCCAGCATCGGGGGCTCATCACCACTTCTCCGACGGTACCAAACCAACTTATCCGGCAACGAACCCAATTGCACCATCTTCAGCTAGTCCTTCTCCATCGTACCCTCTTTCAAGACAGGGTACTCACAGTTCCACGACACTTACACCCGCGATGGGCTGCGATGATAGACGGTCGAGCTCCGACGACACCGAAGAGGATAGCAACGGGGATCCTCCATACTCTCTCCTCATCTACCGAGCCCTGATCTCTGCTCCTGGCATGAAATTACCACTCCAGGGGATCTACAGCTGGTTTGAGAAAAACACTGCCAAAGGGAAAGATCGCAACTCGAAGGGGTGGCAAAACAGTATCCGTCACAACCTATCAATGAATGCGGTAGGCATCCCCTATCTTCTTTTGACTTCATTCTTGCGATTAGCTTCTTGCTGGGCTGTGGAATCCGGTTCTGACTCGATACATCGATTTACAGGGATTTGAGGCTGTCCGAGAGGAATCCACCCCGGGCAAAAAAGCAGTCAATTTTTGGCGCCTGACGGACGAGGCCGTGGAAAAGGGTATCCAGTCTACGACTCGTTATAGGAAACAGGCCAACTACAAGAAAGCGCTCGGTTCAGAAGCCCCAGCCCCTCAGCGCCAACGATCCGGGGCTAAGGGGGGCAAGGCGGCCAAGTTCACGGCCAAATTTCGAGGGAATCTAAGCCATGAGGACCTTCGAAAGGAGCGTTACCGTCAACGACTGTCATGCCAGCGACGACCACCCAAGGACGTTTACGGCCAGTACCGGCACACATCCTCAATGACAACTCCCGCCATGTACCATGTGCCCGCTGGATCGGCGACGCCGCTGACTCGCACGCCGGATGGATCCTTTGATTTGGGCAGCGTCGTTGGCTGTGCTGACCCTCCCTGCACTCCTATCTTCTGTGACATGGCGGGGTCGGGACCGGACTGTCTAGCGTTGGATACAGGGTTCTTGGGATGGAACGGAATCCAACCATTTCCTCCACAAGGGGTGGTGAAAGGCCCCGAAATCGCATCGGAAGTCCATTTCGGGGTGTAGAGTGAGAAACATAATCATTCGTCGGCTGGTGGTCGAGACGAGGCTTTCTCAGCTGGTCAGATTTTCGGTTTCTTTGCTTTTTTCCTTCTTCTCCTTGGGTATCTTTTCCCCCCGACTATTGCGTTTTAATTTCCTTTGGGACACGAGGGTGTTCTCCATATGGCCTGGGTCAGGGCTCCAAAAGGTGTGTGGCGTCATGAAATTGGTGTTTTCTATTTTCCTTCCTTAATTCTTCTGAACTCCGATGGGTGCTTTACGTATCAGTTTTCTTTATATTACCCACCTCCTTTGGCTACACATGCATGAATGAAGGACAATGGAGATGCGTGGCCTGTTTCTGCAGACCATGGAAGACCTTGATTACTTGGTTCAACACAACCCCAGCAGAATCTGCCACGGTCGGTTGACATTACTCTGAGGGAACGGGCTGAGGAAGTGCCATATCCTGCGCCTGACCCCGTACAATACTACGCCCGTACTATCATACTGTGCCTTACTATTGAAACATCCTATCTTGATGTAGAAACACCGCGACCCTGGCGCCAATCGGATCCACTAGGCGCCAGTCGAGGCCGATCCAGACCCGATGAGAGGACCTGCATCGAGGAACTGACAGATGCACGGCATGTCCCGCAGCAGCAGCAGAAGCAGCAGCAGCAGCTTTCATGCTCTTACCTGATTAGGGCAGCCGCGATTCGACTTGAGGCCAAGAGGCCGGGGGGATGTGATGCCCAAGCAACGAGATCTATCAATGTCTCCAGTGTGATGATGTGAACAGCGGTTTGCTATTCGGCGGAAAAACCTGCCGTCCCTAGCATTTCTGGCTCTACCATGCCCTCTGGCCTGGTGGGGAAGAGAAGACGCTCGTGATATCTGGATGTGTCGGGATAATCTCCACCACTGCACGACGTTTCCAAGGTTGGCTTACCGATGAGTGAAGCGACAACGAACCCACTAGTCTTCCTACATTGTTCAGTCATTATTTTTTCTATTGTCGATCTGTCTGATTCGTTCTGACGAGAGAACCCCGAGCAGATGCCGAGCGGCCGACGCTAGGACATTGGTCACTATGGGGAAAATCACTCTGGCTAGTAGAGACGACGAACGAACCCCATGAGTCCATTGGACCGGCATTCCCACCGATGTTACCATCAGCTTTGTAGCATGGACAGTTAGCAGCGCCTAGGCATGCAGCCAAGCTTGTCGGCGTCGTAATGGCAGTCTGCTGTCAAGTCGAGAGGCGCATCGACAGAACGCCACCAACACCAATGAGATCGCCTCCGGCCGGCGGCGGAGTCGCTTCCTGCATACCAATATGTCAGTATGACATTGAGTATTCGCCGGATCGAACGTGCGAGGCTTTTGCAGAGGATTGACGAAAATCGTTACCATATCGGATGGAGACTCCTAGTGCAAACTCCGTATACCTCCCTCCTCTCACTGGGGCTACACTTCCTCGAATGGATACATCTGCTGGAGGTTTCCCTGGATGAGCAATTTTGAACTAATTATAGATCGCGTGCTCGACTCGCTTCTGACAAAGGTACCGCAAGTGGAGTTTACGGTCTCCGAGACTCCCCGGCAGCGCTTATGGAGTACATGCTTTGGATCCTCGTGCGGCACATGCCCATGTACGGATTACTGTATTTGATCATTGCCGTCATCCTTCATGTTTACTTGTTTTTGCTTTCTCTCGCGAGTTAGTCTCTGCTTGGGTACCTACCAGGGCCTTACACCCCTTTCGCGCATACTTTCTGCAGCGGACGCATCCTCTCAAACGTTGCCACAGATCGGTACAACAAGACGGCACCTAGTCAAAGGTACCATGTTGTCCACCAGCCGGTCTCCAACGGGCCGTGCCGAACGTCTAAGATGATGCGGCGGCGGTCAATGTGCGTCTGAGTTTATCGGCTGTTGCTGTTGATCGGTCTTGACTTCTCCCCGGTGCACGTCCCTGCCGAGATAACCGTCCAACCTCAGCACTTTTCGCTGCGGTCACTCGACATATGCTGGGTTACTTGACCGCATCTGAAACTCGGCCAAGCCCCGTACAATGGCCATTACCGTGGAATTGGGTGTGTAGAAGGGCCTCTCTCGTAAGCGGCGCCATCTCGACCGTCGCGGGCGGAGATGCACGCTGCCATCCCCATTGTCTCAACTTGAGTGTAGAGCTGCATGGATGTACGTAGGGATGTCTGCACACGATCTGGGGGGTCTATTGCCTCCACTCCACTTCGGATTTCACACTCAGCTAGATGGCTCGCTGCCTCCTGGTTGCCTTCAAGCTCCCAAGGCGCCTGGTACTTCGTGAGCCCCCAGTTGGAAGGACTGGAACGTGAGCGCGCCGCCACACAGCGGACCTTATAGGCACTCTGTGATCCTCGCCCCGCCATCCACACGCTGATTGCTTCTTCGGATGGATGGCAGGATTCCGGTGCGATCCAGTTTCATACGGTCTGTCCGAAAATCAGCCGCTAGAGATAGTACCACGTCGGGTGATCGTCCGGAGGGCGTTGATATCCTTGGTGTGGTGCTCTCGATCGACAGGCTGTCTGAGCATGCTGTGTGTGAGGCGAAGTCTTCACCGCTTGTGCGAGATACGATGCCAGGCTGGAGTCGTACACCTATCGAGGTACTTTTGACGGTGCCCCTTGGGAGGGCCCTTGCAATACCGGGAGTAAAAAAAAAAAAAAAAAAAAAAAATAAAAATAAAAATAAAAAAAAAAGAATTTCGGATTGATTGCTTGGTGAGTACGGAGTATAGCTGAAGGATCCGACAAGCCTGACGAAAGCATTAGACAATGGAGCCTTGTTCTATTTGCCGGTGGCTAAGTTCCTGATCGAAGCGGACCAGCCCTCGTCCAGCGTGTCAAGCTCATGTGCATTCCATCAGCAGCACCTCTCCGCCATTACTCTTCCTGATGCCTTGGAAGTATCCGCTTCGAAAACCCTGTGCGAAATATCGGACAAGACTACTCCTTGAGACTTGTCCGTTCCGTTCTCGGAGAACTGCAGTCCCTGGTATACTTGACGATGCGCACGCAGGAACAGTCGCCACGCCCGCGACCCTTCGGTACCTGACCCTCCACTGCAAAATCCCATCGACTGGGTCTGCTCGCTGGTATCTACCGGCAGAGCAAGGTACCAGACCCCTCCGCCCTGCTGCCGAAGTATGACAGGAGTTACAGATGGTGCATGAAGCCTCTTCATCTAGCCGCCAATTCTCTACCGAACGGTCGATGCGCTGCATCTGGCACCTCTATCGCCACCCAGGTAACCAGGTACGCGGAGTATGTCGTTGCGCAGGGCCCGTCGTCCTGCGTACGTACACCCCAGGTGAGATGCGAACCTGGTTTCGTGTAGGTGGGATAGGGACCGGCCTGGATTTCCCCCGGTGCAGTGTGCTGGCTGTCAGTTCTGTTCGCAACGGACATCCTTGGGATCCGGTCCTCCCCGGACAATTGTTGCACCCTGCGTCTTTTTTCCTTCCTTTCGTGCCCATCTTGATTGACTTCATACTGCTCCGGGTTGAGGGAGTCTGGGTCGGGTTGGTCGCACGGGTGTTCTGGTGGTGAAGACAAGGATATGCGAAGCCACAAGGGCCATCCTGTCCGGATACTAGGTTAGATAGACGACCGTACTTTGTTAATCCAGTGAGTATTCAGGTCGGAAGGAAGGGCTAGTCGCATGAGCACTATAGTTCGCATGTATACTGACACCGAACGGACCGTGACAACTACATTTATCAAAGTCATGAATTATTCCAGTCAAAGGATAGGCCTGGCCCTATTATTGAACACTGAGTCATGAAGAATTTCATTCAGTAGCCACGACGTCTTGTCGGGGGCCGCCTGTCTGGTCCCTTTACTCTAAAAGAGCCATACCCAGCCGAATTTTATTTTTGCATTTCGCTCCCACTTAAAGACACAAAAACACCGAGCAGAATAGTTATCCGTTTAGCGCTTTCCGGCCTTCTCCTGAGACTCCTTGAGGACCTTCTTGACGATCTTCTGCTCCTCGATCAGGAAAGCACGAACGATGCGGTCCTTGACGCAGCCAGCGCAGCGGGAACCACCGTAGGCACGGCTGACGTTCTTCTTGGGGCGAGAGATCTGGGCGTACTCGCGGGGACGCAGAGCGGGGACCTAGATCGTGGCGAGCCATCAGTCATTTGTTCGAGATCATCGAGATACGCGTGGATAGAGGTGAGGGTGAAGAAAGATGCGTTGTCGTAGGCCTTGCTCTGGTATGCTATCTCGTCCCCGCCATCTCGCTCGTCCGAGAACAAGTCCATGTCGAGTCGCACATTCTTCTTGGACCCTCGCACAAACCCACACAAAAACTGGAGGAAATCACTCGGGAGTACTCACACCGGGGAGCTTGATGCCGCAGTCACCGCACTTGGGGGCAGTGCCCTGCTTCTTGATGTGCAGGTACCGGAGCTCACCACCAGGGGTCTTGATGATGCGAACCTTGTTGGACCGCGTGTTGTACCTATAGAACGAAAATTCCCATCAATATCGGGTCCATGAATCGGGTGATTTTGAAAGACCGTCTATCGCAAACTGCAGCAAAAATCGGACGAGATTTTGTTCGATCGCAGCGACAGAATAGAGGGTGATGGAGGGCTAGGGAAGGGGATTTCCAACGTACGGGTTCCGGCGGCGCTGTAGCAAGAGAAAAATTCGAACGTTAGTCTCATCCATTCATTTCTGTCGAAGAAATCGATTGCACTCACGTATTGAAGTCTGTTGTTCGCCATTTTGATTGTCTTGAACCTCTGCGTCGGTGGTCAAGAAGTGATGGGCGGCGGGCGTCGTCGTGGTCGTCGATTAACTCGAATTCTTTGCGGTGCTCTGGATTTGTGTGGGTTTCGCTCGGAGCCCTGGGAGGCCGCGCTAGCGCCAATTTGGCGAGACCGCGCTATCCCCGATCGGGACTAGCATCGGCCCGACCAAGAGCCGCCACCTCTTGCAAGCTCCTGCAGTCTCGTCCGTCGCCAAAGGCAGCTGGGAGAAGATTGTCCAGTCTTCCCATCACCCCGTTGTGAGAAGGGGATCGTCCACGAGTTGTTTGTCCACTGTTCATTTACGAGTACATCCTTCGACGCATCTCGCCCTTTTTTTATCTGCGCGGTTTGGGACCGCTTGTGGTTGATGAAGTCGCGCTAGTGTTCATCAACCCGTTTTTTCTTCCCGACGTGAATCAATCCCTTTTGACGCGACGGCTTCGAGTATATCCATCAACGCCCGCGATCTGAGAGAACCTCCACCTTTTCCTTTCACTCCTCCATCACCATGGCGTCGCTGCCTCCTCCCCCGCCCCCCGGCTGGGGTGCATCGGCACCGCCTTCCGTGCCGTTGGCGCCTCCGCCGCCGGGATATCAACCACCGGCGGATCCAACGGTCGCGAAGTTCGCTCAGAAGAAGAATGAGTGGCTGCGCACGCAACGTAACCGCTTCGGCGAGAAGCGGAAGGGCGGGTTCGTTGAAACACAGAAGGCCGATATGCCGCCAGAACATCTGCGGAAGATCGTACGGGATATTGGCGACGTGTCGCAGAAAAAGTTCAGCAATGAGAAGCGCAGCTATCTTGGTGCCCTGAAGTTCATGCCTCACGCTGTCCTTAAATTGCTCGAGAACATGCCTATGCCTTGGGAATCCGCCAGAGAAGTGAAGGTCCTGTACCATGTCAACGGCTGTCTGACACTGGTCAACGAGACCCCCCGAGTCATCGAACCCGTCTTTCACGCGCAATGGGCCACAATGTGGGTGTGCATGCGACGAGAGAAGAGCGACCGCAGACACTTCAAGCGCATGCGCTTCCCTCCCTTCGACGATGAAGAGCCCCCGCTTTCGTGGTCGGAGAACATCGAGGATGTCGAGCCTCTGGAGCCCATCCAGATGGAGCTCGATGAGGCGGAAGACGAGCCGGTTTACGAATGGTTCTACGATCACCGCCCTCTCCTTGATACGCCTCATGTGAATGGGCCGAGCTACAAGAAATGGAACTTGACGCTTCCACAGATGGCGACCCTCTACCGACTAAGTCACCAGTTACTGAGCGATGTTGTCGACCAGAACTACTTCCATATGTTTGACCTCAACAGCTTCTTCACCGCCAAGGCTCTCAATGTCGCTATTCCCGGTGGACCGCGCTTCGAGCCTTTGTACAAGGATATTGACCCGAATGACGAAGACTTCAGCGAATTCAACGCCATCGATCGGATCATCTTCCGCGCGCCCATTCGAACCGAATACAGAGTTGCCTTCCCTTTCCTGTACAACACTCTGCCCAGAAGCGTGAAAGTTTCTTGGTACTCTCACCCTCAAGTTGTCTACGTTCGGACCGACGACCCAAACCTTCCTGCCTTTTACTTCGACCCTGTAATTAATCCCATTTCGTCCCGGTCCGTCGCACCAAAAAACATCACAGTTAGCCATGAGGATGAGATCTTCGGTCCTGGAAACAACGAAGATGACGAGTTCGAGCTTCCCGGAGAGGTTGAGCCTTTCTTCGCCGACGAGGAACTTTACACTCCGGAGACTGCGTCCGCTATCGCCTTGTGGTGGGCCCCCCATCCATTCAACAAGCGTTCTGGAAAGATGGTGCGCGCGCAGGATGTGCCATTGGTCAAGCAGTGGTATCTTGAACACTGCCCCCAGGGTCAGCCCGTGAAAGTCCGCGTTTCTTATCAGAAGCTCCTGAAGACCTACGTCCTTAATGAGCTGCATAAGAAGAAACCCAAGGCCCAGAACAAGCAGAATCTGCTGAAGACCCTGAAGTCCACCAAGTTCTTCCAGCAGACTACCATTGACTGGGTCGAGGCTGGTCTCCAGGTCTGTCGCCAGGGTTTCAACATGCTCAATTTGTTGATCCACCGGAAGAACTTGACGTACCTGCATCTCGACTACAACTTCAACCTGAAGCCCGTCAAGACCCTGACCACCAAGGAGCGAAAGAAGTCCCGTTTCGGAAACGCCTTCCACCTGATGAGAGAAATCCTTCGCCTTACGAAACTGATTGTCGACGCCCAGGTCCAGTATCGTCTGGGTAACATCGATGCTTTCCAACTGGCTGATGGTATCCTTTATGCTTTCAACCACGTCGGACAGTTGACGGGTATGTACCGTTACAAGTACAAGCTGATGCACCAGATTCGATCCTGCAAGGACCTGAAGCATCTGATTTACTATCGGTTCAACTCAGGGCCAGTCGGCAAGGGTCCTGGCTGTGGTTTCTGGGCTCCTGCTTGGCGTGTCTGGCTGTTCTTCATGCGCGGTATCATCCCTCTGCTTGAGAGATGGCTTGGGAACTTGCTGTCTCGTCAGTTCGAGGGTCGCCACAGCAAGGGTGTTGCAAAGACAGTTACTAAGCAGCGTGTTGAATCTCACTTCGATCTCGAACTTCGTGCGTCCGTCATGGCCGATCTCATGGATATGATGCCGGAGGGTATCAAGCAGAATAAGGTCAACACTGTCCTGCAGCATCTCTCGGAAGCATGGAGATGCTGGAAGAGTAACATTCCGTGGAAGGTTCCTGGTCTCCCTGCTCCGATTGAAAATATCATTCTTCGTTACGTCAAGAGCAAAGCCGACTGGTGGATTTCTGTTGCCCATTACAACCGTGAGAGAATTCGCCGCGGTGCTACGGTGGACAAGACTGTGGCGAAGAAAAACCTTGGTCGGCTCACTCGTCTGTGGCTGAAGGCCGAGCAAGAAAGACAACACAATTACCTGAAGGATGGTCCTTATGTGTCGTCGGAAGAAGCTGTGGCCATTTACACGACCATGGTGCATTGGCTCGAGTCCCGCAAGTTCTCGCCGATTCCTTTCCCCAGTGTCTCTTACAAGCATGACACCAAGATCCTGATCCTTGCTCTGGAGCGGTTGCGCGAAGCCTACTCTGTCAAGGGCCGGCTAAACCAGAGCCAGCGTGAGGAGCTGGCACTCATCGAACAAGCGTATGATTCTCCTGGTACGACGCTGGCCCGGATCAAGCGATTCCTCTTGACTCAGCGTGCGTTCAAGGAAGTTGGCATCGATATGAATGACAATTACAGCAACATCAACCCCGTCTATGATGTTGAGCCTATTGAGAAGATTACCGATGCATACCTCGACCAGTACCTTTGGTACCAGGCAGAGCAGCGTCACCTTTTCCCCGCTTGGATCAAACCATCGGATTCTGAGGTTCCTCCCCTGCTGACGTATAAGTGGGCGCAAGGAATCAACAACCTGTCTAATGTCTGGGAAACGGCTGATGGCGAGACGAACGTGATGATTGAGACTGAACTGTCGAAGGTTTATGAGAAGATCGATCTGACCCTCCTGAACCGGTTACTGCGGTTGATCATGGATCACAATTTGGCGGACTATATCACTTCCAAGAACAACGTCCAGCTTAGTTACAAGGATATGAACCATACAAACAGCTATGGCTTGATCCGAGGTCTTCAATTCTCCGGCTTTGTCTTCCAATATTATGGACTGATGATCGATCTGCTGCTTCTTGGCCTTCAGAGAGCCAGTGAGATGGCTGGTCCTCCTCAGAGCCCCAACGACTTCCTGCAATTCAGAGACCGTGCCACGGAGACAAGACACCCCATCCGGTTGTACACCCGCTATGTCGACAAGATCTGGGTGTTCTTCCGTTTCTCTGCCGATGAGTCCCGGGATCTTATCCAGCGCTTCTTGACTGAGAATCCCGACCCCAATTTTGAAAATGTGATTGGTTATAGAAACAAGAAATGCTGGCCTCGTGATTGCCGTATGCGCTTGATGCGACATGATGTCAATCTTGGCAGGGCTGTGTTCTGGGACTTGAAGAACCGACTGCCGCGATCTATAACGACCATTGAATGGGATGATACTTTCGCCAGTGTGTACAGCAAGGACAACCCCAATCTGCTGTTCTCTATGAGTGGATTTGAAGTTCGGATCCTTCCCAAGTGCCGCAACCAGAATGAGGAATTCTCGGTCAAGGACAGTGTCTGGTCTTTGGTTGATAACAGCACTAAGGAACGCACTGCCCATGCTTTCCTTCAGGTCACGGAAGAGGACATCCAGAAATTCAACAACCGTATCCGACAGATCTTGATGTCGTCTGGTTCGACTACGTTCACGAAGATCGCCAACAAGTGGAACACTGCTTTGATTGCTCTGTTCACCTACTACCGTGAAGCTGCCGTGTCCACGGTCAACCTTTTGGACACTATTGTCAAATGTGAGACTAAGATCCAGACGCGTGTCAAGATCGGTTTGAACTCCAAAATGCCTTCGCGTTTCCCACCAGCTGTCTTCTACACCCCTAAGGAACTGGGAGGTCTGGGTATGATTTCTGGATCCCACATCCTCATTCCAGCCAGCGATAAGCGGTGGTCGAAGCAAACAGACACAGGTATCACCCACTTCCGCGCGGGTATGTCACATGACGAGGAAACCCTCATCCCCAACATCTTCCGGTACATCATCCCTTGGGAGGCTGAGTTCATCGACTCGCAACGAGTGTGGATGGAATACTCCCAGAAGCGAATGGAAGCCCAGCAGCAGAACCGCCGTTTGACCTTGGAGGACCTGGAGGACAGCTGGGATCGTGGTCTCCCTCGAATCAACACCCTCTTCCAGAAGGATCGCAGCACCCTCAGTTTCGACAAGGGATTCCGTCTTCGGGCAGAATTCAAGCAATACCAGCTGATGAAGAGCAATCCGTTCTGGTGGACCAGCCAGCGTCATGATGGAAAGCTGTGGAATCTCAACGCTTATCGTACCGACGTTATCCAGGCTCTTGGTGGTGTCGAAACTATCCTGGAACATACTCTGTTCAAGGCAACTGCGTTCCCATCTTGGGAAGGTCTATTCTGGGAAAGGGCTAGCGGCTTCGAAGAATCTATGAAATTTAAGAAGCTTACGAACGCTCAAAGATCCGGTCTGAATCAAATTCCCAACCGTCGGTTCACTCTGTGGTGGTCTCCAACCATCAACCGTGCCAACGTGTACGTTGGTTTCCAGGTCCAGCTGGATCTTACTGGTATCTTCTTGCACGGAAAGATCCCTACCTTGAAGATTTCCCTGATCCAGATCTTCCGTGCCCACTTGTGGCAGAAGATTCACGAGTCTGTGGTCATGGACTTGTGCCAAGTCTTTGACCAGGAGCTTGAGCAGCTTGGTATCGAAGCCGTCCAGAAGGAAACCATCCACCCGCGTAAGTCATACAAGATGAACAGCTCGTGTGCCGATATCCTGCTTTTCGCTACGAACAAGTGGAATGTCACTCGCCCTTCGTTGCTGTTTGATACGAAGGATGTATACGAGCCTACCACGACGAACAAGTTCTGGCTCGACGTCCAGCTGAGGTACGGTGATTACGACTCTCACGACATCGAAAGATACGTTCGCGCCAAGTACCTGGACTACACGACAGACAGCATGAGCATCTACCCTTCGGCCACTGGTTTGATGATTGGCATCGATCTTGCGTACAATCTCTACTCGGCTTATGGCCAGTACTTCCCTGGGTTGAAGACGCTTATTCAGCAAGCGATGGCCAAGATCATGAAGGCCAACCCTGCCCTGTATGTCTTGCGTGAACGTATTCGGAAGGGTCTGCAGCTGTATGCTTCAGAAAGCAACCAGGAGTTCCTCAACTCTCAGAACTACTCGGAGCTCTTCAGCCCTCAAATCCAACTGTTCATCGACGATACGAACGTCTACCGTGTCACCATCCACAAGACCTTCGAAGGTAACCTGACGACGAAGCCCATCAACGGTGCCATCTTCATCTTCAATCCCAGAACCGGACAGCTCTTCCTTAAGATTATCCACACCAGCGTCTGGGCTGGGCAGAAGCGATTGGGTCAGCTTGCCAAATGGAAGACTGCGGAAGAAGTGGCGGCGCTTATCCGGTCCTTGCCTGTGGAAGAGCAACCGAAGCAGCTCATTGTTACTCGGAAGGGTCTTCTGGATCCCCTGGAAGTCCATCTCCTTGACTTCCCTAACATTTCCATCCGCGCCTCGGAACTCCAGCTGCCTTTCCAGGCTGCCATGAAGGTCGAGAAGCTTGCAGACATGATTCTTCGGGCGACCGAACCGCAGATGGTCCTCTTTAACCTTTACGATGAGTGGCTGAAGTCCATCTCGCCTTACACTGCGTTCTCTCGCTTGATCCTTATTCTCCGTGCTCTTCATGTCAACATCGACAAGGCCAAGATCATCCTTCGCCCAGACAAGACCGTCATTACGCAGGAGCATCATATCTGGCCTTCGTTGTCGGATGAGGACTGGATCAAGGTTGAAGTCCAGCTGCGTGATCTAATTCTCAACGACTACGGCAAGAAGAACAACGTCAATGTCCAGAGCTTGACCAGTAGCGAAGTCCGGGACATCATTCTGGGTATGGAAATCAGCGCGCCATCTCTGCAGCGACAGCAGGCGGCCGAGATCGAAAAGCAGCAGGAAGAGCAGAAGCAGCTTACTGCTGTGACTACGAAGACGCAGAACGTCCGTGGCGAGGATATCATTGTTACGACCACTTCTCAGTACGAACAGCAGTCATTCGCATCCAAGACGGAATGGCGCACCCGCGCTATCGCGACGTCCAACCTGCGTACGAGGGCCAACAATATCTACATCAACTCGGACGAGATTCGCGACGAGGGTTACACGTACGTGATGCCCAAGAACATTCTGAAGCGCTTCATCACGATCGCGGATCTCCGCGTCCAGGTTGCCGGATACCTGTACGGTAGCTCCCCTGCCGATAACGACCAGGTTAAGGAGATCCGCACTATCGTCATGATTCCCCAGGTTGGCAGTACGCGCGAAGTTCAGCTGCCCCACCAGCTGCCACAGCATGATTACCTGAACAACCTTGAGCCCCTGGGTGTGATCCACACCATTTCGGGCAATGAGCCACCGTACATGACGGCGATGGACGTCACCCAGCACGCGCGTCTCATGAACGAACATTCGTCGTGGGACAAGAAGACTGTCACCATGACTGTGTCGTTCACTCCAGGATCTGTGTCTCTGGCGGCCTGGGGCCTTACTCCCCAAGGATACAAGTGGGGAGCGGAGAACAAGGACACCACATCGGACCAACCGCAGGGATTTTCAACTAGCATGGGCGAGAAGTGTCAGCTGCTGCTTAGTGATCGGATCCGCGGGTACTTCCTGGTACCTGAGGATAATGTGTGGAACTATAGTTTCATGGGTAGCTCCTTTGGCAGTGTTGAGAAACGGCCAGTCTATGTCAAGATCGACACTCCCCTGAGATTCTACGACGATCAGCACCGGCCGCTCCACTTCCAGAACTTTGCGGAGCTTGAAGACATTTGGGTTGACCGGACCGATAACTTTGCATGAAGAGGAGATTGGAAAAGAGATTGCGAAGAAGGGCGTTACGTGGCGGTTGGTTGTTATCTTCTTCTCCTGTTGTTTTCTATCTACGACGTTTACTCGAGCCTGTTCTCATCATTCTGTTTATTTCCCGGGCTGTATTTATGTGCCCCTCTGTAGTAGTGATTGTTTATTGTTTCATTATGGCGACATATATCGATTGATGGACTGAAAAGCGAAGAAGGCCACGAGGTTGGAAGTGTTTTTACTGTGTGTATAGTACCTTAACAGGGAATATTAAGAGCGTTACGAATGATCTAGCGCCTTTTTTATTTATTTTATTTCTTGATTTATTCTTGTTTTTCCCTCAAGAAGGATGAATAGAAGAAGATTTCGGATCAGATAGTGTTCATGCGACTTATCTGGGGGGTCCACCTGCTTTTCGTGGTGATCATCGACTGTCTGCTGCGATGGACGGGTCCGAGTATTCTCCCTTGGTGTTGTTTGTTCCGCACCCAAACCCACCCTTCCGCCGTTTATTCTCTCAACACCGCGCGTTTTTTTCTTTTTTTAATCCTTCCCTTCTCCTTTTCCGGCCTCCCAGCCTCCCAGGGCGTCGACGCCACCAGGGCTACTAGTGGCGATGTCCTCCTATCGCGATGACCATCCACTCTTGATGCTGACAGGGAAGACATCAGCCCACTAAGAATGACGGTGTCCCCTCATAACGCTCTCTCTCCTGTGTACCCAAGGAGAGGGGGGAAAATAGGACCAACTGTTTCACCAGTGCCTCACGGATTCGATTTAGGAGCCCGGGGCCAAAGTCAAAAATACTCCGTACATTTCCAACAAGTGTCGTGACGCTCGCTCGCTCGCTCGGCCCAAGTTGCCTTGGCTACAAGATACGCCGATGTTTCTCCTGGCTTGACCACTGCTCAGCTGGCCGATCTGTGTTGACGCACGATCGTGATGGATTGACCGGAGATCCTCAACGGAGTAGATTTCTCTCCTACCGGCCGGGAACAAGAGAACCGGCGATGACGAACAATAAACTACTCCGTACGCGGTATGGATGAATATGGAGCTTTGACCCGTAACCTCCAGGACCCTCATGCCTCGCTGTCTTTCTCCGCGCCACGTTCTTTTCGGGAACCAGAGCTCCCCTATTCCGCAGTTCCGACCGTTATCGGGGACTTTCCAGGAACCATCCATCGTCATTCTTTGGGGGAATAATTGTTTTTTCCTGTCTAGTTCCTCCGACTCCCCTGGAGCGTTCGGGCGGTTCTGACCGAATAAGGTTGAATGAAGCTCAGGTCGAAAGGGTCACCATCCACACCGGTCCGGCCACTAATGAGAGACAGGGGGGAAGAGATATCCCCCCCCTATGAGGATTAATCTATCTACGGAGTATCGTCTGGCCCAAATATCCAACTTCTCCGTACCTCCATGGAAGGACAAATAGAAGATCCTCCCCCAAAATCGAAAACGCGCACCCAAGGGGAAAAAAAAGTTTAAACGGGCGTGGAGACCGTTAGAGCAACCACTCTTTTTGCAATATTCCGGAATAATACTTTCGGAACCGGGCCACTTCTCCATCACGACGAGGGCGTCCCCCGTTTCTGACTTGAGAGTTCCCGCGCCTGTTCGAGGCTATGGGCCTTCCGGACCAGGGTCGTTCTCCATCTCGAGTCAGAACACTAGGCCGGAACTCGCTGAGAAAGACAATGGCCCACCCCAACAGCACACTAGCACGGTCCGCTAGGAATTCTAATCCCCCTCCCTCGTGGATGTCTCGCCGCTGATTGCTTACTCCATCATTCATTGGCGTGGCACTGGGTGGAGATGCTACGACGACCTACGGCAGCCCTGGTCTTGACAAGGGGGGAAATGCGGTAGTCCATGGTGGATGGGGGAAGGGGAGTTATTCTGTGCCTAAGCTGGTAGTTGCAGCACGCACGCAGGTTTGATTCCCTTGACCCGAATCCCACTGGTCGCCCTCCATCCACGTTCGTATCCAATAAGTTAACTTTAGATTATGTTAGGTCGGCGTATGAACAGGGCTTGGATCTCCCCACTTTTTTGTTGATCAATTCTGGTGGTGTCAAAGAAGCTGGCGATGATGCCCAGCCAGTCTCTTTGTCCAGCCTTTAGTGTTTCATGCTGACCCTCACTGCTGCCCTATCTGCCCTTCTCCACGACTTCGCCATGGCTTGGCCCCTCTCACACGGCTCGGCGAGCCCCAGCCGATGGACGATGGTCTTTTGACTTGTTCTGTATCGATGACCGTTGTCGACTTCTGGGTCTCAGTCCCTCTGCAAGCTAAGCTTGACTGGAGCGCAGATCCGTCAAATGGGGGGATTTTTTTTTCTGCTTGCGTTCTCTTTCTTTCAATCATCTTATCCATCTGCAGCTTGCCAGTTCTGGACGAATATAACTTCGTTCCCATCCTTTTATCCCCAATAATCATTCTCTGGTTTCCCTTTTCCCTTTTCCAGAACCTTTCCTCTACCGTCTGTGACTTGGTTAGCCCGGGATATATGGTGCAGCCTATCACTGATCAGGTCCATTTTTTTGTTGTGTAAGACAAGGTATTATTTGCCTAGACCGTTTTTCCCTTCTTCCCTTTTTTTTATTTGATAATTCTTTTTACTCTTCCTTTTTTTTATTTTTTATTTTTTTTTTCCCTCCGCGTACTAAGTGACGGAAGAAAACGGGCCTCTATCCGTTTGGAGAATCCCATCTGCTGATCCTCTTGGGGAGACGCAGAGATAGAAGCGCTGCAGCTCTGATCGGCCTAGGACGGATGCTTTTCTGTACGTCCTGCGTCTGGTGAAGAAAAGTATTTTTGGAAGTACTGCGGCCCTGTCATATCACCACCCCTGGTGAGAGCAAACTATCCCTTTTTGCGCTGGGGAGTTCAGATCCATCAACGGTTGGTTCGCCTTTATATGAGCGCATTTTCTTCGCTGTTGCCTCGACTCTCATCTCCTATCTTCGGCGCCAGTACGGAAGGACAATCCTGGGATTCTGACCTCCAACGGTGCCTGGCCAACCACCCCCGTGACCAGAAGCTTACACAAACCCCGATACTTCTAATTCACATCTCTGCATGGCGAAAGGCTTCCGGTGTCGCCGATAAAACCATTCCTCGATCATTTTGCATGTTCAGATCAGCCTGAAGGCGTTGAATTGCTCCCCAATAGACCGCCAAGCGCAGCGCCGCCGCCTTCCGTCCGGTCCTTTCATTCCGTCAGCCCAACTCTTTTTCTTTTTTCGAGATCTATCAAGGGCAGCTTGCCAGGGCTTCAGGCTCTAGCAGCGCCGATGTATGTCCGCGACGCTGGCGGATCCGTATCGAGACTATACGATTGACTATGCTCAACATGCGGCTAGCTGCAAACCCGAAGAACATGAGAGCACACTTGTCTACCATCAGAACCAGCCACATCTTCAGCATCCCAAACGGACCGACCCGACATTCTCTCAAGGGAGCTCCCACAGCACGGCATTTGAGCAACACCATGCAAACGCGACCGTTCTCCCACCCGCAAACCACCAGCCGACAGTGCATGATATCACCCAGACAGTCGTCCTCACCCCAGCCCAGATGCTTCCCCGACAACTCCCCGTGCAGTATTCCTCAGCCAACTTCGACCTCTCTGTCCCGCGCGGCAAGAAGCGACACCATTCGGAGGCAGAGACCGGCGACAGCGGTGCCGGCTCCGACCACCACTCGATCAGACCACAGCTGCCCGTCCTTGCTCCCGAGACACATTCAGACGCCGGCCACTCCTCGGAGATGCTCTTCTCAGTCCATGGAGACTCATCACAGCACCAGATGCAAGGCCACGAGTTCGCGCACCCGGACTCGATGGCCCTCCCGCAGCATCATCACCATCACCGTCTCCCACCCCACGCGTCGCTGCGGGATAGCCAGCACCATGGTATGAATGTCGAATCATCTCCTCTGCCCGCGGGGCCACCGAGTGTCGTGGGCCAGCCGGGGATGCCGGACCCGGCGCCTCGGCCTCGAGGACCCAAACTGAAGTTTACGCCTGAGGAAGATGCGCTCCTGGTAGAGCTTAAGGAAAACAAAAACCTGACATGGAAACAAATCGCCGACTTTTTCCCCGGACGGACGAGTGGGACGTTACAGGTGCGCTACTGTACAAAGTTGAAGGCCAAGGACGTGACATGGAGTGATGAAATGGTTTGGACCGGACCCTACCCCTCTGATCTGTGGAGCAGTTGTGCTAACGATGCAGCGTGACAGGTACAACGATTGCAGCGCGCCATCCAGGAATATGAGAATGACCGGTGGCGGATCATCGCGGGAAAGGTTGGCAATGGGTTCACACCGGCCGCATGCCGGGAAAAGGCTAGCCAGCTTTGAGGACAGCAGCTCGGTTGTATGTATATCATGGAACAAGGCATGGATGAGAAGATTGGGATGGATATTCGGATTGATTTTCTTTACCGCAATGCTTCCTTCCAACGGGAGGAGTATGGCTAGATATACGATATTTTCTTTGTTAGCGTTATATATATACCTATACTATGTGTTCATGGATGGACAAACGGAGTACGGCATCTGACTGATCTTGATTGCTCATAGTCTGCTCATAGTCTGGGTAGTATAGATCTGGCGTTGAAGCTGATATGGTAGGGTTCAACCCTAGGGAGATTCCGGATCGGGCGTCTGCGGCAGTGGTGGCTGCAGACCGCCGGAGCAGCTGGTGCAACCAATCACCCGGCGTTGCTGACTATTCGACCGACCACGGGCCGAAGCGGCTTCAAACTCACCTCAACCTCCAAACTAAACTCCCTCTGCTTCATCCCCGTCCTTCCACCACCTCCCACCCCTCCTCCACGGCCTATATCCATCCCACTCCAGGACAATGTTCCTCCAGCGCACGGCCTTCGCCCTCGCGCGGCGCACTCCTGCCCGCGCCATCGCCGCTCGCCCGTTTTCCTCCTCCGTCGTCCGCTGTACGTGACCCCCAGTCAATTTGAGACCCGCCTCTGCTCAACCCTCATACCCGTCCGGTCACTCAATTGGACCGGAGTCCCAATTTTCTCCCTGTGGATGACTCGTTGTGATCTTCCGGCTGACTTGAAGCTCTCCGCGCGCAGGCAACAAGGCGAAGTACGGCGTCGAGAAGGAGGGCAAGATCCTTCCTTTCCAAGGTTGGTCCCCGATGTGATGTCAACAATGAACCCCAATTGCCCCCGTCTCCTCAATTCGACATTCTCAACGCGTCGGCACTGTACACTGTGCAATTGAGACGGCCATTGGCCTCCAACCCGCGCCCGTCAACCCGACCTCGCTCCCTCCGCATCTCCTCACCAGGAGTCCGTACTGACTGTTTTCCCACGCAGAGATCAAGACTGAGGAGGACCTCGTGCCCCCTGGTGCCAAGTCTGGTACCGTCCCTACCGATATCGAGCAGGCTACCGGTCTCGAGCGTCTGGAACTCGTCGGAAAGATGCAGGGTATCGACATCTTCGACATGAGACCTCTTGATGCCTCCCGCAAGGGTAAGTTTACATTCGCCTAGTGGTGGATCTGGTGTTTTGGAATGGCAGAATCGATGACTGATCTTCCTTTCAGGAACTCTTGACAACCCCATCATCGTCAACGGCGCTGGCGATGAGCAGTACGCTGGTTGCACCGGTTACCCCGCCGATTCCCACCAGGTCGTCTGGCTCACCGTATGTTTGATCAATTTCTATTATCGCATCAATACGCAGGATACTAATACTATTACTTCAGGTCTCTCGTGACCGCCCTCTCGAGCGCTGCGGTGAGTGCGGCAACGTCGTCAAGCTCAACTACATCGGCCCCGAGGAGGATCCCCATGCCCGTAAGTGTGCCGGATATTACGTCCATCGCACCCCCATTGCTAATCATACGACACCAGACGACCACGGCCACGGTCACCACCCCGCCCCCGAGGAGCCCAAGACCTTTGCCGACTACGTCAAGCCTGAGTACTGGTACCGGTAAATATGTCTACGATAATATCGCGCGGCTAGTCTTTTGTCTCGGGAAGGAAAGTATAGAAGGGTGTAAGAGGACGAAGCTTGGGTCATAAACAAGATGGACGGAAGACAATCATTCCGCGAGCTCTCTTTTTTGAACGTCTTGGTGCTTTCCACCTTGTGTCTTTTCTTCCCTTGGCTGTATCCCTGTTGAATCTGTCATTTGTCTCTGTAGTATAGTGAGTGGAATGAAGTGAGATGGTGTTGTTTATGATAGTCATAATTTTGTGTCTATGAGTTTGGGGCTGGTCTGGGCAGGAAATGTCGGATGACGTTAGGCGGCACGGAAGTGGGAGTGGGTGGCATGATGACGACCACCCGGAGTGTCCCGTAGACCGATTAGGTCGGAAAGTACCCAAAGACCAAAATGGAAAAGGATTACTATTCCATATTTTGACGAAATTCATTGATAAAAGATACCGTAGTTCTCTATCACATTAGTGAGATGTCTACCAGCTAACTTTATTATAACCCACCCCTACAAACATCTTTTGATCGTGCATCATGCCGGTTGAATTGACATGAACAAGCATAGAGTTGATACAACTACTCCATCCAACTACACCTCTTCGAATTCCGTAAAAGATCCTGATGAGTCTACCGACCGGCCCAGCGAAGCTCCAGATACCGCAAAGGCGGGTAGACAAGACCGGCCCAGGTGAACCCAACATAGTTCCCCATCTGCGACAAGTCAGCAAGACACAATCCACGCACTACAGCGTCAAAGAGGGTGGGTGAACACTCACATCAGCACCATACTCACCCACCAGCCGCGCCAGCGGCCCGATATACCAGACCTGGGCCATGCACAGGATGGCGCCGGCCCAGCCGACGAGGAAGGCGACGAACGCGGCAACGCCGAGCGGGAGCTTAGCCGGGTCGTTCCAGACGGACCAGTTGTAGCCGCGGGGGCGGCGGCGGAAGACGAAGCGCTCCTCGAGGATGATGGCCATCCAGATGGCGACCCAGTAGCCCATGAGGGCGAGGAAGTTTGTGAAGATCTCGGAGAGGTGGCCGCGGCCGGCGAGGGCGCAGACGGTGTAGATGACGACGCCGACGGTGTTCCACAGCGCGCGCGGGACGCGCTCCGCGTGGCGGCCGAGGATCTGGAAGTCCACGCCGGCCGAGTAGGTCGGCGCGACGGTGTTGGCGATGAGGCCCAGCGCGACGACGACGGCGCAGAACTGGCCGAAGCGGCCGAGCGGGCGGAAGCCTTCCACGATGAGCGCGCCGGCGCCGCGCTGGTAGGCAGCGGCGTAGGACGGGTGCTGCGGGATGCCGGAGGCGAGGCCGATACCCGCGAGAAAGGCCATCGTGAAGGAGAGCATGAGGCCGAGGAAGGAGAGCGAGAAGATGGTTCGGCGCGAGGTCCGCTCTGGGTAGTAGACGAAGAAGTCGGCGGCTAGCGGCGCGTAGGTGATCGCTGCGCTGAGGCAGATGGAGAAGAATGACAGGCTGTTGGATAGGTTAGTGGGAGTCGGTGTTGGTATGATGGGGAGGGCTGGGGGCTTACCGGTTGCCGGCTAGGGTGCGAGTATCCCCAACTGACGGGGTGGACAGGTCGAACTTGGATGACGACACGCCAAACAAGATGCAGACCACGATGAGCTGCGGGAGAAACGCAAATCTTTGACACGGTCAGCAGGTGGTCGGTTTGATACCGGATGTCACGCGTACCTCTCGTAGTAGTGGAAGCCCTGGATACCGAACGTGGCGATGACCCAGCTAATGATTGCGATGATCACGATTCCTGGTTTGATTAGTATACGACGAGGCATCCCGACATCACACAGCCGACGTACCCACAGCCACGGACATGCTCCCGTGCGGTGATACAGCGGACAGAATCTGCCCGCAAACCACGCAGTCAATCAGACAGTACCCAAGCATCTGGATCAGGTTCAAGATGACAATAATCTTGCTCGGCCACCAGCCCATTGTGTACCGTCCGAAAGCCTACACCCATTAGACCGACTGTCCTCATTTACAACACCCAGAGACACGTACCATCGTCCGGATACCGGAAATGGGCCCCCACGTGGCCATCCACGCCGCGGGAAGCGCACCGACGAGGGCACCGAGCACAGCACAGAGCGCCGAGTCCAGGAAGCTGAGGCCATAGACCACGGGGCCCAACATCCCCAGGGTGATGTTGTTGGCGGCGAGATTGACCGAGACCCAAAGCAGGAACGCCTGCAGGTACGAGACCCAGGACAGTTTCTTCATGCGCTCATCCTCGCCCACGCGTTCGATGCCGCGGGCCTCGAGGTTGTACTCGACCAGCTGCTGCTCGAATCGTCGAATGTATGCGGCGACGCGGGGGGACACGAACGGACCGCCAGTTGTGGTGCGATTGATTCCTTCGCCATGTTCGAGGGTATGCGACGGTGGCGGAGGGGCCGTGGAGACCTTGGCGGAGTCCTTCTCCGTAGCAGCCCCTAGGGCTGGGACGCGGTTCTCCGGGGACATGATGCTGTCGCAGCGGGTTAGCATCGCAGGTGGGACAAGGGGGATAGTGGAGGGTGCAGAAGCGCGCATGAGGTTCTTTCGCTGGAATTATCCAGATCAAGTTCAACCGTATATTCTCAGAACGACGTGCTGTGGAACAGGCGCCGAACACCGGTCTTCATGCAGGCATGTTACCTAGATACCTTGATCGACAGACAAAACCAGGCGACTAGTCTTCATGATAGCTGTCCCTTGCATGGGGCTTCTGCGGGAGTCGGGGAGAGTTGTACTCGGCGGCTGGGCTGTTTCCCGAGGGAATTGAGAATGCGATGCGGTGAGACTGCGAGAGTGATCACAGTTAGGGATGCGCAATGGTATGAGGGGTGTGCGGGTCACCTGGCTGATCCAAGTCAGATTGCCAACGGAGCGACAGGAAGGCTACAGACACTGCTGGAGTAGTCGTCTAGACGTTGTCAAATCGACGAGAGGCGAATTGCGACGAGAAAAAAGTGTGGAGCGGCAGATTGGCGGCGGGGAACCAAAGTGGGAGAAAATCGCCGCGCCCCGACTTCGGCCGAGACGTCTCGTATTCCACACTGACCGTGCAAATTACTAGAACTGATTGAACTTATCAACATGGATTGCCCATAAACTATCTACGGTAACTCGTCCGGTACAGCGGTGGAAGCAGGATCTCGGAAGCAGCGCTGGAAATCATGTGGTATCCATGCACGGATAGAGACAACTAGAATGAGCAATCGAAGGGAGGAGAGAAAGCTAGAAAGAAACCAAGACAGGAAATCCCAACTCCATAGCCTGGACCCATTGCAACTGTCGCAGTGATCATCGTCTCGCATCGAAAAGGGAGAAAGGTCGAATGCTAAAACAAATCGCAGAATGGATGCATGGAAGCGTTCGTCGTCACGTCGTCAAATTCATCAAGGTCTAGAGATCTTTGAAATGCTCTTTGGCATACTGTTCGCAGGCCTGCATTGCAGTCATTAGCGGTGCCCCTGATGGTGTCGAATTGACGAGGACACACCTTCGCAGGCTTTCCAACCTTCTGCCCAATCACCTTCCACTTGTTGGCTTCATACTCCTTGATTGCTTCCCGAAGGGCCTGGGACTGGCGGGTGTCAGTAAACCATTGGGATGGTTGGATGGACCTGTTCGGGGTAGTACACACCTCGTCCTCTGCGAACTCGGCGTAGTGCATGTCCTATCATCATGAGTATCACAGTGTTGGTTATCGACGGCTGTCTGGGCGAGATGATACCTTGTACCAGTGTTTCTTCACACTACCCTCAGTACGCGCGGGGAATGTCTAAGGAGGGTCAGTCGTGGGAAGACGAAACGAAACGAAGGGATCAGTAGGGGCAATGTCTCACCTTGGCGATTTCGCTCCAACTACGGCCAGCATCGCGCATGGTCTTCAGTCGCTGCTCTTCTTCGGCAGTCCAGGGAGTATTGGTGCGGCCTTTCTTCCGAGGAGGCTCGGATTTCCCTGCGCTCTGGTCCTGCGCGATCTCCCCAGTGGAGGCGGACGAGACCGGGGCGGCCATGGTGGGTGCAGTCACCGGCTGGTGAGAAGAACGGCGCTTGCGAGGGTTGGGAGGCGGAACCTGAGGAGGGGGCATATGCATGCCCTCAAAGGGAGGGACCGGTTGGAAGGGGTGAAGTTGTTGTTGTTGTTGTTGCTGGGCTAGTAGATGATTTTGCGCGTTGGCAGGAATGGATGGTGTTTTGAGTCTTTTGGGGGTTGGAGGGGACCTGATGACACAAGGCACGAGAGAAGAGGCGATCAGGTTAGTGAGGGAACAAGAAGACAGAAATAAAATTGCAAGAGAAAGAAAGATGAAACAGGAGTGAGAGGATGCCGCAAGAGATGATGTCGTCAGTCACATGTGGACAAGGACATCGGACTGTATCAAGCACATGACAGCTGGGGGCATATCGTATATATAGGTAGGATTTCAGAGGCACGTCGCCATGCAAGAAAACAAAGCAATCAATCAAATCCAGACAGAGCGCCGGGGACGTGCCAACAAACCCCCACGACGAGGGAGGACGAGGACGAACTTACGACATGGTGGATGGTACGTAGGATTCCCAATCACGCTGCACCGATTCATCTGTAGATACACATGCTTCAGAGGTTAGCTCATCTGCTACTCCAGAACATGGCATGGGGATTGGCCTGTCAGGTAGGGAGACGAGGTCGTTGTTACACCAGTGAATAATGACGATGGCACGGGGGTCATCCCACAGCGTGGTCGTGACGCTGCAGAAAGAGAGCCCCGAATAGGAGAGGAGGAGTAGAAGAAAGTCAAGGGATGGTCAATAGAATGAAGTTTACATGCAGATAGGTAGGTAGGTAGCCAACGTCAAGATAGAGCCGGTGGGGAAACCTTGGAAGTATAGGGAAGTAGTAAAGAGAAAAGATAGATAAATAAATAAATAGGTTTAGGCACAGTCGGATGAAGTTCTTCCCTGTAGCTGCGTCGGAGGGACACGCGAGACAGCAGCAGCAGTGGGAGCGGAGGTGGTGTCCAGATGAGAATACAAAGGCTGAAGATAGTACGGAGCTGGAGGACTGGAGTCGCGATTATTATTCATGATAAGACGGACTGGTCAGGATGGAGTAGTGGAGATGGAGGAGAGAACCCAAGCCAAATGAGGGGGCGGGATGAGCAGGCTTACTGGTCAGCGTTCATGGTTGAAGAGACCGAGTCCCTGGTGACTTGAGTTACATGAAGTCAAGACAGATGGTACACAAGAAAAGAAAAGAAGGGAAGCGGGGAGAAGAGGGATGTAGTTATTGGGAGGGAGAGAGCAGAGCGGGAGGAGGAAGAGGAGGAAGGAAAAAGAAACGAGGTGCAAGATTAGTGGGACGAACGACAGACGGAGGGGAAATCCAGCCAGCCTTAGAAGAAGAACAACAACTTAGTAGGTACTGATAATAATAGGGAGGGACAATCAATCAACTGCAGCACGCGGCGCCCGTCACAAACTCCGTGCTCTCCGGACACACACTTGCTTTTTCTATTTTTCTGAAGATTATTGGAATTATCATGACCCGGGTTCTGGTCCAGTACCTGTCTGTCTCTCCCAGACTATTCCAGGGACGGAGGGTTATTTTATCTCCAGACAAGTCAGATCGGTGATGTGATGGATGGATTTGATGACGACCCACACCAGCTACTTCCATAGTACATAGGTATCTAGTAGGTATCACCCGGTGATTGATCTCCGCAGATGATAGTACTTCTGCTGTCTTCTCAAACCCACCCAGAAGAGCCACCTCGTATCCTACCAGACACAAGGATTCAAGCTAAGCAGTTGAGGATCTGACACGCATGTGGAGACGGCGAATGGCTACAACCACGGTTCATGCCTCGCAAGAACATGAGAATAAAATCTCCCGACTGGATACGATGGCGAAACCAGGCAAGTTTCAGACAATAGGTGAGACTGAATGTGGTAAATCTATATATACCTGGGCCAAGATACCGGTGTTGTTCTCCTCAGCGGGAAGCGGGGTAAGGTCATCATCATCCACCGTCGCCATCCAAGGACATGGTTGAATCATTTTTTCCCACCCCCAGACGATACGGTAGCTTATATATGAATAATGAAACTATATCAAAGTTATATGATGGGCGTTATTTGTTGATCTCCTCCCTCTTCTACACCAATGACTTGGTGGGGAACCTTATTTGATCTGTACCATTAATGCGGAGGGACCGAGATATTTACCCGCTTGAGCGAGGTAGTCCAAGATGCGCAACATCAAAACACTATGCCTTCTATTGATAAAAATGTATCTCTACCCACCTCAGTAAACATGTCAATATCTCCAGCAACAGCTCAAGTATGAAACATGCTGGCGTTGACATGATACTACTGCGATCTCAGACTGCGTAACCAGCTGACGTCACTGATAACACAGCACGTGACATTCTTCTTATCTGTTGACCGCCCTGAGACCCCCTGCAACATCGCCTTGTCTCCTCCTTAGGTGCCTGGACCTTAGCTAGCTACCTAGCTAAACACCACCTTGCCTGTTCTCCGACCTCCTTCTTATATTGCTTGGCCATAGTGACAAGTGGCAGCAGGTCACCTCCAAGCTTCAAATCATCACCTGACCCGAGCATCGGAGCTACGACGCCTTCCGGTGATGCTCTAGACACCTCTCAACAGTGCAGCACCTCTTAAACCACGCAACTCATACAACATGCTCAACCTCAACATTTTCCGGATATTGGGCGACCTGGCTCATATATCGTCGAAATGTATCTTGATCTGGGCTATCCACCGGAACAAAAGTGCTGAAGGTATGCATTCCGACGGTGTCCGCTGAGTTCCCCCATCCTCACCCGCCGATGCTAGGTGTTTCGCTCCTCACTCAGATGCTCTATGCTGTCGTTTTCGTGACCAGATACCTTGATCTGACTCGTGCGAACGGTTGGAGTAGCGTCTATAACGTCTTTTTCAAGCTCTTCTATATCATCTCTTCCTTCTACATCATCTACATCATGATGAAGGTCTTCCCTCGGACCCGGGAAAGAGAGCGGGCTTGGAAGTTAGGGATTGGTTCGGCCGCGGTTTCTCTCGTCCTTGCTCCGATCTTGACCCTGATCTCATACGGAGGTTTCCCATCCCATTGGTTCACCGAGGTGAGTCGTCCTGCATGCAAGGTCCCGTATCTTGTACGGAACCTGGGTTATACTGACCGCTTGCGCCATTTAGATCTTCTGGGCGTTTTCCATTGTTCTGGAATCCGTCTGTGTGTTGCCGCAGCTGTTACTGCTGCGGCAGACCACCGTCCCCACGGTCATTGATTCCTACTACCTCGTCACACTGGGCTCTTACCGCGCATTCTATATCCTGAACTGGTTGGTGCGCGGATTCGGCGCGGAGCACTATTGGGATCCGGTTGCCGATTTCTTCGGCGTCGTTCAGACGGCTTTCTATATTGATTTCGCCTGGGTGTATTACTCGCGCCAGCGCGTCAAGCTTCGAAACGGAGGGGTTGTCGATTCAGAGGACTTCCGGAGGAGCTGGCTAGTGAACCGGGTGCTGAATTTCCGACGTCGCCACAGCACGGACGAGGAGCAGAATCTTCGAGACGAGGAAGACAGCGGCGACGGAGAGCGACCGAGTAGCAACCGTTGGGGCGCGAGAGGAATATCGATCTCTGCAGATGACACGCTGGACGAGCACTCCCGCAACAAGCCCCATCATGCCAACCACAGCGATGATGATGATGGCCTGGGGGAGATCCTGGAGGACGACGATGAGCATCTCGCGAACCAGGCGAATGGACAGACGCAACGCAAGGGTTCTCCTCCTTCAGTTGCATGAATGAATGAGTTATCCGCTGTGCCGCCATGCAAGAGTATATCTCATTTTTAGAAAATATCACGTCAGGTCTATTTGCTATTTGAGTTGTTGGCTTACCTGGGTCCATGTGTGGTGCATGCTCTGATGTATTTTCCGGTTTCTTTTCCCTCTCAAGGCTCTTTATTTTCAATTGCATGGCGATAGGCAAGGGTTTGGATAGGAGCCGGATGGTCTATTTTCTCTTGGGCGCAGTCAGCCCTGCCGCTATCGTCACACCATCTTGGGTATCCAAGGTATGTCCCGCGTTTGACGGTGTGGGAGATTGCGGAAGGTTCAGTCATGTTGTTATTATTAGATCTATGAAGCGCAAGGACGAATGAAGATGATCATGAATCATACCCGCCTATGTGATCCAGAGGGTCCTGACGTTTCAAGAGAACCCTAAGTCATTGCTGCGCCGGGACATAGCCACGATATTAGAGGGGTCGTTATGACAACAGACAAAGAAGCACCTCAGTAACCTCAAGGATGGTTTCGGGGGCCAAGGGACTCTACTCCAGAGGGCTAAAATGCCTGATCAGCAGCGCCGGGGGAGAGCTTCCCAGCAGGGGTGGTGTAACTATGAGGTGAGCTTAGTATATGCGGATGGATGATCCAGTTATCTTATTCGAAGACGATCCATCTGGAGTACCAGGAGGATCCTGAATATTGTTTCCCTTTGACTGTCTCTCTTTTGGCCCCCTTTTCTCCCACCGTATCAGAAGAAGAAAAGAGACCGTTCATCTCCCCATCACGTTGACCATCGACTGGCTTACCCGTTCTAGATTAGCGGCACCCCAGGATTCTGCCTTACCGAAACGGCCCTCCAGCATCCTCCTCCTCTCGACTCTCGACCCTCTACGGATTTACACTCGGAGTAATCGGATGTCCATCACCCCCAAGGGTCGAGGGAGGGGCCATGGCGTGGTTAATCAACTCCTACGCCATCATGGCCTGAGCGCACAAGGAACAATGACGGACCCATCACTCGAATGGCCGAAGATTCCACGATCCCTCATGGGCCGAGATCCCTAGCGTCTGCTGCTTCTTGGATCCACCGCCCGCTGACGGTCTGGAATACTACTACGTACTTCGTGAATCGCTCGAACTCGCATTCCATCCTCATCTCATCTGGCGCGTAAATCGCCATCCCTTTGGGGGACACGTGGCCAGGGTTGGATGCAAATGCAACCACCCGGGAGCCCGATTCGGGGAACGGATCGTGCATGCTAGATTGAGCCGGGTACAGATAGACCCGCCCCTGGTGTAGGCTCACTTGGTGGTCAGATCAGGCGCACACACCTGTATAACGAACCGGTTCTGATAATGAGGTTGCTTTCATCTCCCCGGCTCGTTAATCCGACTAACTTCGACGCTAGCCCGCGCTAACCCACTGGGACTTACTCCTACGCTTACAGCCGCAGTCTCCCAGCGCTTAATGTATGGCTGCGTCGTCAAGAAAAATCACACCCCCTGTTCCATGGAGCTTTCTCGATGTCATCTATCTCCTGTCTTGTGCTCTTCCGCCCCATCTCATCTCCCTGGATCAATCATCCATCCTACTAGTGTGCCAAGGGATCCTGCATGACCACTGTCCACCGTTGTTGAATCCATCGCCTATTCTCTGCTCCACCAGGGACGGTCTACTCCCACTATTCCCACTGCTATCGTTGATTGCTTCAAGGCTGATCCCTCCCCGCGGAGCTTTCTTTCCTTTCCTCACCCATTTGCTCGATACTCCCCCGGCTAGCTTCTTGTCAAGCGCTACCCTGCCGACCGTCATCTGATCCTGCGGCCCGTTAAGCACCGGTTCCTCATCCTTTGCCATGTTGCTCATTCCAGCGGTCCCACTCATGGAGACCCGGAGCCCTGGGTCGGTGAATGCGGGTACTGCCCTCTTCTTGGGGTGACTGGGTGGGCCTGAGGAAGAAAGTGCAAGTCTGCGCCTCCCCAGGGTTTGGGGGCTGGATTCCTTCCATGTCATATCATATCAGAGGGTGGCTCTCAAAAAGCCGGTGTCGTCCTACGAAAATGGGTAGCCGCTTGGATCCAAGCTCATCGTTAACTCTGCACCTCTAGTTATTATCCGGGTCGTGCGGCACAGTGGCCGGCGGCATCGTCTACCAGACTCTTGGGACTCACTAGACCTGTGGAAGGAAGAGCTTCACGTCTTTGTCCTGCCTTGCAGACAGCCCGACTGCTCACTCTTCTACTATATGAACCCGGATATCACCTCCTGTGGTCTCTTTCATTCCATATCAAGCCGATGACACGCGCACATATCCGAGACTTCTAAGTGTCTGGGACAGTTCTATTTCTATGTTCTTTTCATAGTGCTTCTCTACTTCAATCGACCTCTAATATACCGTCAATCTACCTACCCACTCACTCATCTCAACCTGTTACCGCCGTTCCTACCCCCCTGTTACTAGTTCCCCCCCGGCGCTTCACTTTCCTCCCCAGTTTGTCGCGCGCCTGACATCCCTGAGAGGCCCAATTGATTGGCCTCTTTATGTTTTCCCCGATATCTTGTCAATATTCGGCGGCAATGTCGTTTGGACACGGCATGACTAACCCCGGGCAGGGGATGGAGGAGTACTACGAGCGCATGCAGTCACAGTGGACCGAAGTAGATGCAGTATGTTCCTAGCGTCCAGAAGATTCTTTACAATGACTGACTCGTTGGATCGTTAGGCCCAGTATGGCGGTATCAACCACCCTTATACCTCGGCTGCGCCGTACCAGTCGGCTTCCATCATGACGCCCATGAGCCTTCCCGATAGCTCTTTTACCCAACCCCGACCAAGCCCTGTCCTGAGCCATCATTCCCAAGATTTTCAATACGGTGTGAATGAACCTATACAGCCCCACGGATTCGACATGACCGCGTTCCCCGGAGAAGTCCCACGGACTTTACCACCCGGCTACGAATATAGCCAACCCGCCTATTCCTTTCCACAGCCGCCTCCGAAGCGGACTCGCAGGAGCCCCAACCCGACAGCCGCGGGCCCCGTTAACATCCTCCCTCATCCAGAGGGACTCCAGCGCCTTGAACAAGAGCGCAGGCAGAGCCACGTTGAACCTCACCCACCCCAGCGGCCGCGGGCTCCCGGTCGAGGCCGACGGGACCCGCAAGCTGAAGAAGAAGACGCATTCGTTGAGCGGCTGCGCGAGCAGAATCTGGCTTGGAAAGTCATCCGGGAGATGTTCCGGGAGACGTTCCACAAAGATGCGACCGAGGCGCGTCTTCAGATGCGATTACTGCGTCGACGCAAGGAGCGCCTCGCCCGGTGGGATGAGAGCGATGTGAGTACGTACGCCACCCTGACCTCCGTACTATGACCCGAGCACCTGCTAACCAGCTCGTTCAGATTCAACTGCTGATAAGGGCTCGTGACTACTGGGAGCATGAGAAGTACAACTTGATAGCACAGAAGGTAAGATGGATGCAGGAAGCTGAAGGCCCACCGTCTGACCATATCCAATAGATGAGGGAGTTAGGAGCAAGGAGGGAATACAGTCCACAACAATGTGAAGCGCAGCTACGTTATCTTGATGCACGCAATCGGGCTCCACGAATATCGGCTTCTCAACTTTCTCGAAGGCGAACCACGAAAGCCTCTCGCGAAGAAGGCCCCAGCACGACGACAGGATAGTATGGGGTTTATGCGGCTCTAATTTCTTTCTGGGGTTGCTTTTGCTATAAGGAATGGTGTTAAGGTTGGTTTGATTTGCATGGGAAGCATCTACTTCATCAATATACGGAGTACGTCGAATTGAACTATACCCAGTAATGAGCATTAGTACATCCTATGGTTCACACATATCCATTTTGTTCAATACGTCGTAGTCACTAGAGGGCTAGCTTTCCGAGGCGGACCTATACTCTCTTCATTGTAGTCAGACCTAACAAACATGACCGCAGCGCAGGGAACCGAACAAACCAGCTGAACGGAAACAATGCCAGGAAGATCCTTCCACGTAGCCGCCACTATCCTCAAGGATCCGGGGCTGACCGTCCAGGTGGCGCCCATGCTGTACGACTCGATTCTCTCTAAGCGCCAGGCTAATTCCTTCGAACACCAGAAGAATGACACAACTGCCGATCGGAACTCTAAAGACTACCTTGTAGAACGCTGATGGCAACTCCGTGGCGCGTCTGGCGGCGAGGCTTTGTTCCTTTTCGGATACATGCAGCGGGCGTGGAAGCGCTCTGGGGATTCCTTTCGGTTACTGAAGGCTGAACATCTTACGCGAACGCCTTGGAATATCCCTGTATATGCAGAACTCGACAAGGCTGACCCTTGTCTGCGGTTCTCGGTGAATGTGTGTACTCTAGGGTATGTATTCTGGACGGGACTTCTATAACCACCGTGCTACGCCGTCATACGCAGTGTCGACCCGCGTGGAGCGGTCCTTGTTCGTGTCCACCGTGAAGCCGCCAGGATGAAAAACCGTGATGTACCCTTTATTCCAGAAGTCTGATCGATCAGTCCTGTACCACGGAAGAGCGCCGCGCCGAGAAACCTAGCTATGTACAAACGACGCGGCGTCTTCTCCACAGTCTCTTGTTGCATACATTAGTCCTCGTCAGAGTCCAGATCCTCCTCGACGACGGGGAACGTCAGGAGGGCCGCCACACCGCCCAGCCCGTCCAGTCGCCGGCCGCTCTCGTGGTCAGAGCTCAGCACGCGCACCTCGCCGCCCTCGACATCCCGGACGCGATCGACCAGCGACACCCAGCGTTTGCGCTCCGCCACATCTTGCGAGCGGAACAGGCGGTTCGAGATGATCAGCACGCCGCCGCCGGGCCCCACGGCGCCCTGGTCAACCGCCGACTCGACCTCGCGCGGCCCATACGTCGCCCGGTTGGTCTCCTTGCGCAGCTGCTCCATGAACTCGTCCATGAGCCGCGTCTCGCGGGCGTACTTGGTGTCTGCCAGCACCGTCTTCACCGACGGCGACTGCAGCACCTCCGACAGCGAGTGCAGGTAGCCCGACGCCGAGTGTACGACGATGATGCTGGGCAGGAGGCGCTTCAGCGCCGGCATGCTGCTCGTCGCCACTCCCTGGATGTACTTGTGGAATCCTGCGGCCACGAACCCGGGCGACGCCAGGAGCACCGGGCGCACCGTCTCGCCGTTGTTCATCGCTGTCGCGCTGGTGTTGAACTCCATCTGTCGCAGGAGCGTGTCCAGCGTGACCTGGTAGAATTTCGTCATCCCCTGGTGGTTGTCAGCCTACGGGACTTGTGTCTGGTGGATGGGCGCTGCAGACCTTGTCGTGATCTCCACCGCCGTGCCGTTTCCGCGGCACCGACATCTCGACCTTCTGCTTGAGGATCGTCCGGAACTGCCCGATGAAGCAGATGTGCGCCAGACCCTCCTGCATGACCACGGCGACGGCCTCCGCGCGCCGCTTCCCGCCCTCGTCGACGGCATCCTTGAGCATCTCGACCGCGATGCTATCCCAGCCCACGCCCTCGCCGTCGGACCCCGTCTCCTTCTCGAGCGTGAAGTTGCGGTTCAGCTCCAGGTCGAGCGTGTGGTGCTGTCCGACTTTTGTGTAATCCGTCTCGTTGAGGATCTGCCCGCCCACATGCAATTGCGAGCTCTGCGGGTCGAAGTCCAGGTTCTTGACGCGAATCCGGAGCATCAGCTGTACGCGCGAAGTCGACGTTGAGCCGGTTTCCTGCGTGGATGTGACGCGCCGGACGGCTTTGGCTGTGAGGAGGTCGCCCGGTCGGATGAGGTTGTATGCGTGCCACTGGGGGTGCTGGATCAGTTGCGTCATTCTCTTTTTGTTGGGTTGCAGGCGCTGCGTACCATATCCTCAGGCTCTTCAGGACATAATGTCACCGTGCCCGAGCCATTAAGCTCGACCTTGTTCTTAACAAGGCGCATCTTGCGCGGTCAGGTCTATTGGCGGGGCGTGTATAGACAGATGCTGAATGTGTCGAGTCTCGAGCGGGGCGGGGCTTCGTTTCCGTGCTGGACCCGTGGTAATGCGCTGACCAGGAGGATTTCCGAGCCGTATGGAAGGTGCGCGACACCAGGTGCAATGGACTATATGTTAGCTGGTATAGTACCGGGGAGGACGGGCTATGAATATTCTGGTAGCCACGGAGCTTGGGTGACGGTTTGGCATCATCGATGCGGGCGGTGGCCGACCACCCAAAGGGGCTAGCGCGATGTTATCGATAAGGCATGATTGCCCTAAAACCTAAGCTACCTGTTTTGGATAGCATCTGATTGATTAGGGTTGCTCATACGTTATCCCCCAGCTGATCGAGAGGAACCAGGGGTACAATATAATAACAATCCGGAGATCCTCAGATCCCTCTGGATGAAGTCTGGACACTCTCCCTACGGAATGATCTACTATTTACGCGACACCGCCGAGTTCGGCCTGCCATGAGGTAGGCCCCGCAGTGATAATCGTTCTCCACCTAACCATGATGAAGAATCCCAAGTCGTTAGTCCGAGGGACGGACCCAGACGGTTACGCCATTCGTGTATAATAAGAAGCGAAATCCCTCCAGACTGCGTCTCCGTCTATCAACATCAAGACACGACATCGAATTTTTCCTTCACGAAACACTTCCCTTACCATGGCTCCGACTTCTCTTCAGTCGACCCAGAAGATGGTCTCGGGATATGAGATCCCGGTCGTTGGCTTTGGCGTAAGTTCCATTTCAGGAGGTGTTGAATCCCATTGCTAACCTCCCTCGATCCAGGTATACCAAACGTAGGTGTCTGACTGCCTACTGGAACATGAAGTGTCGCAGCATGAACTGACCGCACCAGACCCCCCGACGTCACCGAGAAAGTGACCCTCAAGGCATTGGAGGCCGGTTACCGCCATGTAGGCATTCATCCCCAGCTCACAATACCACAGCATCCTGACAATGGGACCAGGTCGACAGCGCAAAGTACTACGCCAACGAGGCCCAATGCGCCGAGGCTATCCGCAAATCAGGCATTCCTCGCTCCCAGATTTTCTACACAACCAAGGTCCCTGCCACCCACATGTCCTATGAAAAGGCCAAGGAGGCCATCGAGGCGAGCATTGCGGACGCCGCTAGCATTGAATACATCGATCTGTAAGGCCGCCTTCCTGTTCCCCCAACATCTTCATCAACTGACGACAAAGCGTGCTGCTCCACGCCCCGTACGGCGGAAAGGAAGGCCGCCTGGGCGCCTGGCGCGCGCTCGTCGAGGCCCAGAAAACGGGCAAGATCCGCTCCATCGGCGTCTCCAACTACGGCATCCACCATCTCGAAGAACTGGAGGCCTACATCAAGAGCGGCGCCGGCGGCCAGATCTCCGTGGGCCAGTATGAGATCCACCCCTGGTGCGCGCGCGAGGACATTGTCAATTGGTTGAAAAAGCGCAATGTCGTTGTGGAGGCCTACTCGCCCTTGGTCCAGGCGACCCGCATGGACGAGCCTGTTCTGCAGAACCTGGTCAAGAAGCACAACAAGACCCCGGCGCAGATTTTGCTCCGCTGGAGCTTGCAGAACGTGAGTTATCCCTCATCATATGTAGTGTTAGGTGTTGATGCTGACCTATTACAGGGATACGTTCCTCTTCCCAAGTCTGTGACCGAGTCCCGCATCATCGAGAACACCAAGGTGTTTGATTTTGAGCTGTCGCAGGAAGATATGGCAAGCTTGAAGACCGGTATCTATGCCCCGGTCTGCTGGGACCCTGCCAAGGACGCTCGTCTGTAGATGGCGTCTGCGAAGGAGTTTATTTTCAGGAGTCAAGTGTAAATCAATAACATGAATAGTATATAGAGTATACTCGGTACGAACTGCTCAAGCGTAGATCAGTGCATATGCATATTGGTGTCTGCATGAACCCACTAAATATAGCCGCGTCGGCAGAACGTATTACCGCACCCCAGCTACCCGCATGGAAGCAGCGATAACAACAAACGCTCTGTTGCACCTGCATCCCCCGCTACGACAAATTAACCAATTTGGATACCACAGTTCTTTTTGGCTCTCCATGTCTACTAAACCTCCCCTCGTCAACCCCCCGGCAGAAACCCCCTGAGCATCCCTCGTCCCCGGACGCGCCATGCCCGACCCGCCCAAACGCATCATCATCGAGAAATCCCGCACCGTCCGCCGGCGATACCAGCGCAGCAACAAGCGGTTCCAGTTCACCGCGTCGCAGATCGCGCAGATCGAACGCGAGGAGGAGCGCGAGCGCCGGGCGCAGAGCCTGCGCGAGAAGGAAAAGAGACGCATTGCCAATAAGAAGAAAAAGGCGGAGAAGGAGGCCAAGGCCCGCGAGGAACGACGACGACTCGGTCTGCCCGATCCGAATGCCCCAACCGTACCCTCGAGTCAACCCCTGCTCTTCAACTTCCTGAAGAAAGACCCGCAGCCCGATACACAGCCTGGCCGTTCAGGTGACGAGACCGAGACGCATGCCGAGACGCCTGGGAGCGGATCCAGCGAGGAGGACGATTGTGAGGTATCTGGTCTGGATGACTACGCATCGGATGATACCATCGTTGCGGACTGGCCAGAGCCCAAGGCTGATGCCGGTGTGTCTACGGTGACCGGTGGAGGGAATGAGGGTGACAAACCGGAAGAAGAGAAGGAGAAGGCGCAAGAGAGAGACGACGATGAGTTTTCCGATTGTTCGATTTTCTACGACGAAGACATTATCAAGGAGGCCGAAAAGATGGCAACCGCGCTGGATGTGGGTAGACAAGAACCTCAGACCAAGCTGTCAAACCCGGGCCCTACAAAACGAGCATTCTTGAGAGCGGAGTCGTTCCGGGACGAAACTGCCGACTTGCTCGAGGCTTTTGCGCATGAGATTATCGATTGTCACGATGGATTGGGACGGGACCTGGTCCGATGGAATGCGGGCTGAGGCTTCTGTGGTTGGCGATATGCCTCTATTTGAACCGCCCCCAGAGGCCTGGGTCCAGCCGACCCGACGGGCGGCGGATCGGATGGCGGTCGCCCCTCGTCGGCTCGCGCGTTGATAAGCTGGGCGGGCGGCCCTTCGCCCCGCCCTCTGCTGGTATTCCGACGGAATGTCCTCAACCACAGATAGCTGCGGTTGCATGGTCTGATGAGTAGGGAGCACCTCAAGAATGCTACGAGGAGCTGTAGGAGGCGATGAAGATGTGAGAAACATCGACATCGCACTCGACTCGCACAAAAAAGGTCGAAATGGAAGTCACAATACAAACAGAGGAGCTTAACCGTCCGATCGCCGATGACGTCGACAGGGCCTTTCGAACAATGAGGGGCTCTCTTATTTATTTCTCTGGCGCGTTCGGATGCCTCCTTCCTGGTCCGTTATATTCTAGCGGCTTCTCCTTTTCACGGTATCAACTCTCCAACCCCGTCAAAGTCGAGAAAATCCAACACAATGCCTTTCATCACTGTAAACGACCACCAATTGCACTACGCCGATAGCCATCCCGACGGTGCGCCGGAGAAGGGTCTGACCTTCGTCTTCATTCACGGACTCGGGTCCTCGCAGAACTACTATTTCCCGGTCATTCCGTACCTCACCTCGAAGCATCGCTGCATCACTCTGGACACCTATGGCTCTGCGCGGTCCCCCTACACCGGCCAGCCGGTCTCCATTGGGTCCATTGCCGCCGATGTGGTCGCCGTGATGGACGCTCTTCGTGTTTCCCAGGCGGTGGTGGTGGGCCACTCGATGGGTGGATTGGTTGTGACTCTCCTGGGATCGCAGTATGCCGATCGGATCAAGGGAGTGGTGGCTGTTGGTCCGACTCATCCGTCGCAAACTCTGGCAACTGTGATGAGCAAGAGAAGTGAAACTGTCTCCGGAGGTATGGATTGTGATCCGTTTGTTGATTAACGGCTTTCCGGCATGTTTGCTGACGCAGTCATAGCTGGAATGGAGCCGATGGCAAACAGCATCCCCTACCAGGCGACGGGATCAAAGTGCCCGGATTTGGTCAAGTCGTTTATCCGCGAACTCCTCATGGGACAGAGCCCCAAGGGCTACGCGGCTCTCTGTCAGGCTATCGCCACCGCACCAACAATCGACTACTCCGCGATCAAGGCCCCCTTCCTGCTGCTTGCCGGCGAAGAGGACAAGTCGGCGTCGTTGGAGGGATGCCAACACATCTTTGACCATGTGTCCAGTGCGAACAAGAAGATGGAGGTGTTGGCCCAGGTGGGACACTGGCACTGTCTGGAGGCGCCGGACTTGGTTGGAAAAGCCATTGCACAGTTTGCCGAGGGGCTGTAATGCTGCAAAAAAAGTCCATGTATATAGGAAGAGTATGCACTTGAGTCTGTAAGTCATTGGAGTCTTGTAGTACCAGTACCCTCTTTTCGCTTGATATGCTTTATCTACTCATCGTTCTCTACAGTCTCCAAAGGTGTAGAAATCTCTAGTAGGCGATGAGTATGCGGAAGCATGGAAGAATTGCGGAATTCGCTATAAAAATGTACAGAGAACAATGAATAATATATATACTGGGTTCGTTTTCTTTCCTCCAAGAAGGGTTTAGGCACCGTTCGTCTTCAAATTCTCACGGACCAGCTTGACATCGTAGGTCAGCTCAAGACCCGCCTGAGGATCGCCCTTGCGCGGCAGGAAGTCGACAATCAACGAGTCCTTCACGGCGAAAACAGAGTCGTTGGTGAGGTAAGGGTCCTTGCGGTCGAAGATCTGGGTGGTGAGAGGCTTGTAGCCGTCGTGGGTGGCCTGCACGACACAATGATTAGCCGCCGTCTCGACGGACCCAAGTGCGCGCTGGAACAACTTACAATAATGTGAATGTGCGCCGGGCGGAAGGGATGTCTATCCATGAGCTTGAGGAGCTTCCCGGCGGGCCCATCGTCGGGGACCGGGTACGGCGTCGGACGCAGACAGTAGAAGAAGTAGCGACCGTCGGCGTCGGTCTTGAATTTGCCGCGCAGGTTGAACTCCTCCTGGTTGGGGTCCTGCTGCTCGTACAGCCCGTTCGTCGACGCCTGCCACACTTCGACGGTGGCGCCGGCCAGCGGCTGCTTGGTCTCGAAGTCGATGACGCGGCCCTGCATGAAGGCCATCTCGCCGTCCGTCACGCCCTTGACGATGTTGGCGCCGTTCTGGCGGTAGGGCGTGTCGGCGCGGAAGAACGGGCCCAGAATGGCGGTCGCCGTGGGCGCGTCGGCCGCTTCGTCGGCGAGCTTGAAGGTGATTTCGTCGACTAGACTGTGCACGGCACTTGGTTAGTTCGTGAGCACGTTGAGGAGGAGGGTCAGCGCGTACGATTCCAGTCCGATCACGTCGCAGACTAGCTGGCCCTCGTTGCGCTTGGCGTCGCTCATCTGTCCGGCCCAGTTCATCAACTGCACGCCGGCCATCCACTCGTCCACGGTCAACTCGTTTTCGCGCGCAAAGTCGTGCACGTGCCGGATCAGACTGGCCATCAGCTGGCGGAAGCGCGGCTCCGTCTTGGGGCCCATGGCGCTAATGACATTGTCGGTGAAGTTGGGGTCGAATCGGTGAGAGGCCATGTCGATGTTGGTATGTGTGTAATATCAACGAATGGTCAAGATATGAGACGTGGAGAGGTATAGTGGCGACGTAGATGACCGAGGGACTTAAAAGAATATTAGATTGCGATATACAGATGGGATAGATCAGAATTCGAGAGAAAAGTCTCTGTATGCATGCAGGACCCGACGGACTATATAGGATGCATCGTGATTGGAAATGCTCGCCTTCCGGACGGCACATGTGCCCTGGGTTGGCAAAGGACCCCGCAGGAGGCGGTTCGACCACGCTGGGGCGGCAATGTACTCCGTACAGTCGGAAAGGCGACAGAGGGTGTGGTGTCCATGGATGCAGCAGTGGCCCGTCGGAAGAGGAGGGTTGGCGACGATCCGATTTCCCCGCAGAACTGTCGGATGTCGGATCGCCCAGGTCATGTGACATACACACATTTGTATAGCCTCAACTGTCACTCGGATTTCTTCCAGTCACTATCATACGATCTGCCCCATGCTTCCTCCATATTCCCGCGTCTAGTCATCTACTGACGTTTCGCTCCTTCCGATCCCATCCGTCGGGCCCTTGGGGATGTCCCTTCTGCGTAAGTTCCGCCGGGAGTTCCTGAAGCACCTGGCCCCTGTTCCCAGATCTTCCCCAGACCGCGCTTGCGCTCCACAACCACATCGAAGAATTCCATGGGCACGCTCATGGGACCCCCATCCTGCTGTGCCATTCCTTCGCTAAGGATCACCCCGTTCTCACTGCGCCAGAACGGACACCCAGCGGCTAGGGCCTTCTTCAAGTTAATATAGATCAGGACCTGCGCATCGCGGCGCATTCCCGAAATCACCCCGGGGCCTTCCGTCGGCGACGTCTTCGCCGACTCCACCTGCGCAAGCACCGAGTCCAGAGAGGGCCCCGTCGCGAAATGCACCTGGTTGCGTCCCATACTCCGCAGACCGCCCGACGCCAGAATTGCCGGCCACGACGCGTGGAACGTTCCGTGCACCACCGTTGTCGGCAGCTTGGATTCATCGTCCAGTGTCAGTCTCTCCAGAAGCGACTCGGCTTCCACGCTCTTCATGCTATGGCCCTGCGTCGCTCGGATGAGGAAATGCGTGGGGTCGGTGTCCGTCTTCGCCGCCGCTAGCGCCGTCTGCGTCGCCGTTTCTTGTCCCGCGCTGGTCGTGGGGACGGCCGAGTCGGTAATAGACGTAGGTTCTTCTTGTTGTTCGGCCTCTGCATTGCTGGTAGACTCCGTCGTAGTCGTAGCTGTGGACGATTGGGCGGCCTTGGCCGAGGGGATGTGCAGAAGCGCGAACCGCTTCTTCTCGTTGTTTGCGACGACGTCAACGACCTCTGAGAACGAGGCTTTGAGCGATTTCAGACGGTTCCATGCTAGCTTTCATGCGACTCGTTAGTAGACGCCTTTTGCGCCTGGACAAAAAAAAAAAAAAAACACTTACCACGTCCGCCAGATTGGCGTACCCCTGTGAATCCATCTTCAATCCTTCCCTCTCCGCTGCGTGTCGCAAAAGCGTGCTCAGCGCCTTGGAGACTAATACGTCTCGACCCTGGGGGCCTCTGCCCCTGTTTCTGCCTTGTTGCGGCATGAGGATAGACGTCACTGGCGGTCGGCACGCCGTTCGTAGAAAAGTCGTGATAGATGCTTTCGGCCGTCGGATCGTCGGCTTTTATGGTGATGTTCCGTCAGAATCCTGCGACAACGTAGAATCCCACCAGGCCGTGGACATGACTCACCAGGATGGTTCACCGGTTGATGCGTTGGAGGGTGGTCGCTGCAGCCACCTCGTGTTGGGTGGCCTGGACGTACCGATGAGAATGTCTCTTTACATGGCGATGTTAGAGATTTGGGAGTGACCTAACAGAAGGAGAAACTCCAGCAGTTGACTCACTGGTTAGGAGGGGAATTTGGGCGCGTTGTGGTTGTTGAAGATCGGCGGAGTTGAATTTTGGTACGGCGGGCTGGATGACACTTCCGAACCTTTCTACAACAGCACAAGACAAGATCCATTTGATTCATTCATCCCTGCATAATGGGTATATTACCAGAAAGAACAATGCCGCCTAACACACAACGCAGACGATAAATAGATGATATAAAGGGGTAAAAATCACCGGTCACAAATACATCTACACTCCGCCACTGGGCACACGCTATGCTTCGCAAACCACTCCCGGGCATGGTGTGCGTGGAATCCATGATTGCAGTTGATACAGAATACGACGAACCGCCGCATGAGCTCCGCCTCAGTGGGCTTACGCGGCTCTTGGCTCGCATCGGCGGCTATGGAAGCTTTGGACATGGGATCAGGAGATCCCAGCCACAGCGTACAGACTCCGCACCGGGGCATGTGTCGGCCGCAGCGGGGACAGACCATCCCCGACATAGCAGCAGCGCCCAACGGGTTCCCGGGCGTTGGATGAACGACCTCCCCAGAGCTCGACGGGGTCAGTTGAGAAGACGCGTCATGTTGGGTTAGCGGGCGCGTGCAGTAGTTGCAGGTCAAACTGACCTGCTGTCGTGGGGGCTCGACTAGCTTCCGGCCATCCCAGGTAACAGCAAACCGACGCGATCCGACATCGAACCGCGCGCGTTCTATCTGGAGCTTCCAGGAGTTCATCTGCCAACGGTATGTCTCGCGCCACGCTTCGAAGCGGGCTCTGCGGGACACGTCGTTGATGAATCGGGGAACAGTGTGGCTCATGGCCATGACGGAGGTTTGAACATCGTTGAATTTGTTGATGTAGGACTGGAACAGGTCCATCGCAGCATGACCCAGGCCTGTGAGCACGACGCCTTCAATGTCACCCTCACGGATGACGTCCTCGAAGGTCTCGTTGAGATAAGCGGAGAGATCATCATCAGGAAGCCAGCGTAAAGCGACCTCGATTCGATACCTCAGAGGTAAGGTCGTCTCCTGAATTACCGACTTCCAGTCCCCCTTGCTCACGAGGGCAAGGATGGCGCGGGCGTAGGGGTCGGTGAGTTCTTTCGCGATCTCAGCGCAGGTGTCTTCCCAGTCAGGATCCGTGTCGCCTTTGGCCGCTCCAGCAATGGCCATTGCAAGGAGCTTATGTGCTTGCGTCGGTTCGTGGCTTCTCAAAGCCAGATACGCCAGTTTGGCTTCGTCCTGGAAGACAGCCAGTGCGGCAGCTTTTGTATGCTGATTATCTGCAGACAGTGTCTTCACAAGCTCCTCCAGTTCGCGATGAGACTGTGCTGCACCGCATAGTCGGAGGCAGAGTCGGCGATGTTCCGGATATTCAGTACCACATCCTTTGCTTTCAGGTAAATGAAGCTGCTCTTGTACCAGATCCACGATAGTTTCACGTATATTTAACTCTGCACTGGGGTCGATTCGTCGAGCTTCTGAGCTCTCCCCTGAAAACAATCAGTGATCCTGGTGGAGATGCGTAGAGTATTCGAATAAACACGTACCCACGTCGTTGTTCCAAACGTCATATACTCCCAGATAGTTCAGATCTAGACCGTTTGCAACCATTGAATCGTTCGATGAATCCAACCGTGCCCCTGGGACAATGTCAGCGCCGTAGGGAGACCACCTCACACATGACTTACGCTCAACCCAGTCCCAGAATCCTTGTAGGGATGGATCATCCGACAGTATTCGCTTGTTCTGCGATTCGTCGAACAGATATCCTTCCTTGCACCGCAGTCGGCTGACTGTTAACAGGGTCAAAGCCTCTTCGACGGTCAGGGGGTTGTTCAAGGTGCCTAGAGATAAGGCCCGTTCTCGAGCCTCGCGGCTCGACAAAGGGGCGGCGGGGTTGCTCTGACGGGAGAGCTCTTCTTCGCTCAGATCAGGGAGGATGCGTTCGCGGAGATCCTCAACGATCTCTGCAATAGGTAATCCATGGCTGGACGCTGGCTCTATCGTTTGAAAGTCACATTCGCCGTCTGATTTCGCGTACGCCAATACGCCTTGAGAAGAGAGTCGCACGGTAGGCGGCGGCGGCTTCGTCGTGACGATGTTGACCTGGCCATCTCCAGACAGTGTGATGGCACTGGGTTCATTTGACGTATTCAGATTCAGAAAGTCAAACGACACTACTCTGTCGGACTCCTTATAACCGCGAGTGGGGTGATCGAACGGACTGAACACATCCCGTACATATTTAGTATAGATCTGCTCGGGGTAGCTTCTGAGGGACCCGTGGCCGAGAGTCTCATCCATGGACGATCGGTATTCCTCTGCCGTATACTCTTTGGCCATGTCATAAGTTTTGAAATGCCCAGTGTTCGCCAGAACACCTAGACATCCCCTCTTTGTCCTGGAGAACCGGAGACTCCAGATGGACGATTTTGGAGCAACGACATTTTTGAACTCCAAGGCTGGATCAGGTTGTCCAGTATCCAGGGCATTTGTGGGACCCACGCCAGGAGCAAATCGGGGACCTACTCGTCGGTCCCAGACGCATATCGTGGGTTCATTGGAAGCAATACACGACGCGATGTAGTTCTCGTCAAGCCAATCGATGGCCAGGTTATGGACACATCGAGTAGGGAATTGCAGGGAAGGGTTTCCCGGACCCTCTGCTATCGTTAGCTGCATGCGACATAAACCTAACAGAAGAGGACAAACGACAGGAACCCACCTCTGAGATCGTATATTCGAACAAACTGGCCCTTGACACCAGCGACCAGCGTATCGGGCTGGTCCCTGAAGAACTTCACGCTGGTAATCGGTTCCGAGCTGGCCAATTTGCGCAGGGGCTCAACAAGGGATTTCGAACCCCGCATGGCCAGCCGTTGATTCACATCCCAGATATTGAGACAAAAATCATTGCGCACGCGATCCAGACCGGCCGCGAGAAGTCCATGTGTGCTGAACGCGACAGCGTTGCAGTACCGCTGATGGCGAATCGGAAACGAGAACGACTCCTGCGTCTCGCTGTTCATGCGCAGAATGGTCGCATCGCCGGAGGACTGGCCCACCGCCACGAGCGATTCGTCAATGGGGGACCAATCGAAGGCCCGGAACGCCGGCACTTTGGTGTGCGTCGACAGCACCTCATGCTCGAGGTTATGTCCGTCGAACGAGGTCACCTTGCACAGTCGGAAGGCCTTCCCCGCGACGTCCACAGAGAGGAAGCGTTGCTCTGCGGCCGTTGAGGACGGCGACCAGCGAATCGCTGTCTCCATTTCGCTCTGCTTTCTTTTCTACCCCTCGGGTTTTGTGAGCTCGATATCGCAGTATGAATACGACTCAGCCGACGTATCTGCTGCGTCAACCCCAGCGGCCGCCCACTCTGTTTCCAGCTTCCACGCTGGCCCAATTCAGGCGACGAGGCGCATAGTCGGATGGGCTATATTATTGGAGAGGGACCGCGATAGTAATATGGATCATCCAGCGGAGACGAACATGTAGTAATCTGGAGAGAACGGAATCGAATCACCGTCACCGAAAGGTCGCTATCGTCGCTCAGCGCGTCATTGGTTCTGGGTTAGTCCTGATTGGTTACCTGGTCCGGGGTGTTTTTTTCTCGGGCCGACCAGATGATCCGCGCTATCACTTTTCTAAATTTCCAATACTTCGTTCTCCAGCATCTCTCTCGTTCAGTAAATCCCTCCCAACCCTCCTCAGCCGTCGACCTCCTCCTCGACCATGCCGAGAGACTACTCCCGATCCCAGTCCCCGGTCTCCAACCCGACAGGCGACCGCAACTACCGCGATCGCAGCGACCGTCCTAAGCGCAAAGACCGCGATGTGTCCGAAGATGCGCCGCACCACGCCTACCGCAAGAAGATCAAGATTCCAAAGAAGGAGCACCCGTATCCGTCCGTCAATGAGTTGAAGAAACGCATCCGCGACGTCAAACGTCTCCTGAACCGCGTCGATCTGCCGGCCGATGCGCGGATCGTGCAGGAACGAGCACTTGCCGGATACGAGAATGATTTGGAGGAGGAGATGCAGCGACGTCACCGCTCGGCGATGATCAAGAAATACCACTTTGTGCGGTTCCTTGGTAAGTTCTGGGTGTGCCGGTCGAGGCGACGGCTCTGTTTTAAGCTTACGCAATGTCGACTAGACCGGAAAACCGCTACGAAGGATGTGAAGCGTCTTGAGCGCCGCGAACAGGAAGTGTCTAAATCGGACCTCGATGCCGTAGCGAAGGAGAAGAAACTCGCGGCGTTATCCCAGAAACTCGACATTGCGCGCGTCAACCTCAACTACACCATCTACTACCCCCTTACCGAGAAGTATATCGCTCTGTACGCTGCGGTGAAGAAGAACAAAGATGGCACGACAGATGGAGCCGCCGATGACTCAGACGTCGATGCGGGATACAAGCTTGTCCATGCGACCAGGGAAGAGAAGCCTGCCATGTGGCATGTCGTGGAGAAATGCATGAAAGATGGGACGTTGGAGCTGCTCCGGGAGGGCAAGCTGGATACTCCCGATGTGGACAGCACGGGCAAGGGCAGTCAAAAATCGAAGATAGACAAACACGCCCAGAGTAAGACAGACCAGACGAAGTCGAAGTCGAAGAAGTCGGAATACAAGGACACGAAGCACGCGACCAAGGGCAAGGGCCGTAGCGTCACTTCGGCCGCCTCTGATGAAAACGGGGATGAAAGCGACGGAGGCTTCTTTGAGATGTGATATCGCATATCAACCGCGAGCATTTTAGGAGTTGGTCAGCATTTCGGGTTGTCTATCTTCGTGCCTATACTTTATCAGACTTACCTACATTCACGCTATATCTTATACGATACCCAATTAAGTATTCTTTCCATAGGACAACCATTTGTATGGCCGGAATACATGCACCGATGATACGGCTTAAGAAATAGCACTTTGAAGATATTGCAATGTTCAACGTTGAATCTAGAAGTCAACTGCCTAATAATAACATCCTTATAACGCCAACCATCGCCATCCACTTCTAGATACAGAGGAAAAAAAGAATGACCCATTGCGTTTCCAACCACGTCCACACTGATCGCACAATCATCCTTGCCAGTGCGTACAAGTCTGAAATCAATGTCAAAGATAGATATGTAGCTCGGACACAAAGAAACTTCCATGAAACACCTTGTCAGTGGGTAGACTGTGCCAAACCCCGTAAAATCACGATTCTTCGTCAGATCATATATCATAGCATATTCAGAGCCTTGAGCGATGCTTTTCAGTTTCCAATATGTCCAGCATTCGGCAGCCCTTGGTAGTGAGTTGACGTTCAGCAGGTTTCCGGAACCCGTCATGTTGAAAAGCAAGCCAGTCGCCAATTTGTGCTAAACGCGCTCGTAAATGCGAAACTCCGGAGGCAAAAGGAGTGCAAAGCTGGATGTGAACAGTCCCTTTTCACATGACCACGCATGATCCTCCGCTTTGGGCCCTCCGGCGTCTTCCAATGCCCATTCCTTCTTCCTCCTCGTCTTCCGCATTGTAGAGTCTCTCGGCCTCGCGGGCTCGACGACGTCTTCTTCTTGCGCCAGCGCCTATTGCGCCAGCTTCTTCTGTTGCCATCATGTAATCGGCCCATTTCCGATCAAGTCGACTTGCGGCTGCCAGATCGCCACGCAAGACTCGCTTGTTGTGTTCGTCCACGGTCATCTGCCAGCCATAGAAGCACTTGAGATACACGATCTCATTCGGGTACACGGTCGGCGGTGGCGGAGGGGTGATGGAAGACATCACCATAGGCATGTTCGGGGCGAGCTGACCAGGTTGGTTTCCTTGTATCACCGGGGCGGATTCGACCGTTTGTGCCACCACGGAAATAGTCGGTACCGATTTGCGTTTGCGCGGAATATAGGCATTGCTCGAGAGAACTTCCCTAACTCCAGCCCATGTGACGTTTGCGCAATCGAAGACGACCAGCCGCAATCCAACCTTGGGAAGGCTATCACCATACCCGCGCTTGCGAACACGGCTACTGGCTTCCATCAGGGTAAGGTCGGAGACTCGTGTATTATCCATCTCTACCGACCGAAGCGAGAGACAGCTTTTCATGACTTGCAGCATGCCGATATCTCCCAAAGCTTCACAATAACTAACGTTGAGATGCTGAAGGCAGACGGCACATGGGGACTTTGCCAATTCAATCAGAGTGTTGTTAGTGATTCGCTCCATGTCTTCGAGCTCGAGGTGCGTGAGAGACGGGGTGGTTCTAATGACCGCAATTATGGAGTCATCGCTGAGCTCTGGGCACTGTGACAGCTGCAGACCTTCCAAGTAAGGGACATTATGGGCGAGACTCTTCACTCCGTCATCCGTCAGATCGGGGCACTGGTGAATATCCAGGTGTTTGAGGCGACGAGGTGGGACGATGGGGCGATCGAGCAGTAGATCCATCACGGGATTTTCGCCGTGCATCAGGACTTTCAAGCTCTCATCCGTGAGGTCGGAGCGACTCATGATCAACCGTTCTAGGGTATTTTGCTCAAACAACTGAAGTGCGAAAGACGTATCATCGAACCCGTGAATTTCGCTGGCTCGCAGATCCTTCAGTTTCGGACAGGCTTTCACGACCTTCTTTAAACCGGCCGTAGTGACGCCCGTGCACCACGAAACGTTCAAGATCTCTAGATGTGGACACGACTGGGCGATGATTTTCATAGCCGAGTTGGTCACACTAGTCAACCCGGACACGTTGATGTACTCCAGGCGAGGGTTCCGAAGGAGAAAGTAGTGAACCGAGGTCTTGTCAATGCGACATCCTTCAAGCGAGAAATTGACGACATTCCGGCACAGGTCGGTAATGCTCTCACCCTCAGCCTGCCATTTGTCGCAGAGCTGAATACAACCCCGGAGGTTGAGATGGCGAACAAAGGGCCCCCCGGTTTTGATAAGCTTCACCAGAAACTCGCTGGGGATATCACGATAGTATTCGGAGGTGTCGACATTAGTCCACAACTGCCCATCATAGCACATCTTGTACCACGTTTTGGAGACGGCCGAGCAACGAATGATTTCCTTCGGGGTCAGATACAGGAAGATATCCATCTTGATCTCGTCAGGCAAGTTGCCCCAGAAGTCAAAGACCTTCTTGGGCTTTGCGATAACGGGTTCTTCTATCGCATCATGGCTGGGAGATCCTCGCGAACCCGGCCGTAAATCGGTGGGCATGGGAACTTTCTTCGACTGAACAGAGCCCGGAGATTCGGTGCCGACGAGTCGGATGCGAGCATTTTCCTCGTGGAGATCGGCTGGCGAACCTGGCGGACCCGAGGTCATCGGGCGAACATTCAGTCCGCCATAGAGTTGAGAGGAGCTGCCGTTGCCAAGACATGGTGTATAGGCGGATTGCGAAAGCGAGACACAGGACAAAGACGCTTTTCCATCGCGCCGATATCCCGTCGAAGCGGATCGGCCGCGTCTGGTTAAAGTCGGGGACGATGAGATCCTTTGGAGGCTCTGTAGAAGTTTCCGGCGGCCCTTGAGCTTGGGAGGTTGTTCCAGAGGGATTTGGCCGGTCGATGAGTTCGGACTTGCGGGAGAGACCACTTCTGGCGAAGGCGCGATCACATCGGGGTTGGCGGTAGCCATAACGGAATTGCGGAAACAGTAGACTGCGACACTTGAGCGTCCAGGAGGAGTATCAACACCGGTTTCGGATCAGTCGGATGCAGTCCAGGCACCAATGATTTCGATATAGAATCGCAGAGTGTCTGGCTAGTAGGCGCTGATGATGGCGACGTGTTGCGGGATTCCGCCAGGGTATGTATCTTAGACAACCATGATGACGGTTACGATCCAGCCCAAAAAGTCTAGTTACCTGTGTTGTTCGAAGGGAGGAAGTCGATCGCGAGATGGAATGCGAAACTCAGCCCGTTCCTGCGGATGAAGAGTTCGAGGGAGAAGATGATCGACAGCAGCAGCCCAGGTTGTCCGACCGCAATACCAGGCGAGAGCGAGAAAAAGAAAGGAAAAAGAGGGAGGTCGATAAGGGTCAGCTGTAAGTGCAGAGTGATCAATCCAACAACAAGGTTGTGGTTTTCTCGGCTAAGACCCGTAACGATTGTACCATGGGACGTTGTTGACCGCGTAACCCCCGAGGCGCCGGTTGATGCGGGAAAAACGACTGACTCGGTTTATCGACGTCACCGGGGCATCATCCAAGGAAGTCGACGGGAGTTTATGAAGGGGTAGAGAAGAGGAAGATAGGGTCGAGAGGCTGTCAGACGGGCGGAAGGTGTTGTGGTCGAGAAGCAGGCGAACCGATCGATGGTTGGCAGGGAAGAAATGGCTCTCAATCAGTCTGGTCGATGCCGGTTGGACAGGACCGACTCCGTAGTCAGACGACAGACAGCAGACGCAAGTCGTCTCTTGAGGCCAGTAGTGACAAGTAATGTTACGGTATGCAGCCCCTCTCCGCCACAGCGTCCTTATCGATTGGAATCGATAGACAATCCGATAGTGGCCCCCACTTTGGTGGTGAGCGGAGCCGTATGATTACCAACAAATACCGATGAGTGCGTTGAAGGGGGGGAGGGTTGAGAAAAGGAAGAGAAGAACTGGAGAGGTGCAGTAGAGATGTTTTAGATGATCTATCCTTGAGAAGAAGGACTGGGAGGAGAGATTGGGAAGAAGGTAGGTGGGTAAGAAGGTAATGTACTTGTATTGGAGATTGTTGAGTTCTCCTGGCTGAGCCTGGACCAAACGGGAAATCGACTAATTCACTCATTCACTCTCTACATTCACCACACTTGAGACCAGTCCAATCCAAAGGAAGAATAATTCTCTGTAAGATTCCCCCTTTCCATGTGCACAGACTGCATTCCATTGATTTATTACCTCCCGTTCTTCCTATCCATTCTTGGCCGGCCCAAAAAGTGGTATATCAAGACAAGAGAAAATTTCCCACACATCCCTATCAAAAGGCTATGGTCCTCCCAGAGCAACATCCCAAAAACCACCCATTCACCAATAATGTACCCACGATAATCCACATCCTCGTCTTTGTTCCTGGGGTCTCTCAGGTACCACGGACACAGCCGCCATGGTCTCTTACGTCCCCTCCTCTGCCCACGGATTACCACCTCCAGGTCCACTTCTGACTGCCTGTCTATCACAACTCGGGAATAGTGCGGTGGTGGGGTGGGCTTCTCTTCCAGTCTGGAGAATGAATCTCTCCGACTGGGGCGGATTCGCCCCCATCGGCCGCGTTCCTGGCCTGTCGCGTTGCTTTGTTCCTTGTCATGTTTGCCTCCCAGGCCCCCGGCCGGTATCCACTACCCACATGGGCGAGACAACACCGCCACGCCACCCTGCGGGGAATCCGAATCCCATCCGTTCGCGCCGGCCGGTCATCCTCGTACAAAGAAAGACACTGTCGCACATGGACTAGGGCGTTCCGGGGGTCAGACGCTAGGAGGCACTTGCTGACCGAGATAGATTAGCGACTGACTTTGGTTGGGGCGTCGGGGCAATGTGCTTCTCCCTATTCTACTAGACTCCAATATGGCGGAGCGGTGGTGGTCAGATTGGGGAGAGTCCACGAGGAATTAGAGGACCATTGCATTTGTAGAGAGTGTGTGCGCAGGCCTAATGGGTTGAAGGTAGGGTTCAGTGCGAATCCCGGCACATACAATGATCGTTAAGGTCGATTGGAGGAGACATTTCGATACGAGCCTCTGCGTCCAGGGGCACGCCATCGGCAAACTACCTTAGTCTGTCCGAAGAAACGGCCCTATTCATGATACCTCCCTGGTTCACTATTACCTCCAGTTGAGAGCCTAGAACTCACTGTCTTCGGAGTTATGAGCGTCCGTATTCGGTATGTTGGCTAAGGGTACATGCCTTGCAATCTAAGAATTGCCCATCGTCGGCTGGGTTACCTTGTTCTGCATGCAGGACATGAGCCGAAGTCTCTCGCCGCCACGCCTATTCCAGGTAGTACGTGGGGGTACTACCGAAATACGCTTTACTCCGTCCATGCCCAAGTACCTTTTAGTCTCTTGGTCTTCATTTTCCCCGCCTCCACCCCGCAGTCGGTTAGCATGTGGCGGACGTTTAGACTACAGTAGGCATGTAGTACGAATTATGCTAGCTGTAACCAGCACCACGCAAGAGTAAATTGGAAGATGATGCATTCATATCTACCCAAATAACCTGAATATGACGGGGTATCTCTGCCTCCTATCTCTATACAACATGATCCGTTGCCTCGTGATTGCTTTTTTAGCCCGGCCTCCCCTTTGTATAAGATAACCTCCATCATAGTGGGAAATGCAAAGTGCAATGACAAACCGAGCCCAGTATCATACATCCTCGCTGGCCCAATTCTCTATCGGCTTCTCATCGTAAACCATCACATCTTGAATCATCGATATGCTTGCTGTCATGAATATATGCTGGTGGGGTTGGTAATAATGCAAGGAACAGAACACAACGGAATGGGGTGAATATAGGGGGGCTGCGCCACCCAGAGCAGGAAATGTCGATATATAGTCCATGCTTTCAGCCACTGTGATCGCGAGCTATCCAAGATCGCCCGTCACAACGAGCGAGATGGGGCGTGTAGGTGGCCGGTCAGCTGTCTACCATCCAAGGGTGCTCCATGACCTCCGTAATGGTCAGTCGGTTATCGACATCGCGATCGAGCATCCGTCGGATCAAGTCGATACACTCTTCGGAGAATGGCAGGAAGGGGACCCGAAGCGGGTGATCCAGGATCTCATCGACATTATAGAACGGGTTTTCCTTGTACACAATTGTGTAGAGGAGAATGCCCAGGGCCCAGATGTCCTGTTCTTTGCCTCTGTAGGACTTGCCCTGAAGCACTTCCGGCGCAGCGTAATCTAGCAACTCAGTTAGCCAGGCTATCAACTAGCAAAAAAAAAAAAGCAATGTCAAGGCTTACCAATAGTGCCGACGAAGACGTCAAACGGCCCGTTCTTGATGTAAGCTGCACTCCCGAAATCGATGAGTTTGATCCGACCTTCGCCATCTAGAATGACGTTCTCGTCTTTGATGTCGCGGTGTACCACCAATGCTTTCGTATGGAGATGGTGAATGGCATCCACGACCTGTCGGAAGATGTTCCGGCATTCGGCTTCATCCATGTTCACCTTCAGCTCAATATAATCGAAGAGATCCATTCCAGGGAGACCATGAGGCATCATCTCAATATAGTAATTGATGTCGTCCTCGAAAAATCCCTCCATCTCCACGATGTTCGGATGCTTCAGGCCATCGCGGCGGAGATAGTCCAGAACATGGATCTCCAGGGGGACGGTACCTAGTCGGCGATCTCGCGTCCAGGTATCCACCAAAATCCGCTTCTTGGTCACGTACTTCAAGACCACTTTCTTCGAGGGGTTCTTCTTGAGGCGCGCGAGTTTCACTTCTCCGTAAGCACCTTGACCCATCTCTTCGATGATCACGTAGTCGGATATTGCCCGCTTCTTGGGGGCTTCTTTGGCATTAGCTGGTCGCACCTCTGGGACCGGTTGTACGGGTTTATCCGTGAGCGGCTCTGATGCGGCTTCGTTCAGTTGTTGGCTTAATGTAGACAATGGTATCCGGGTTTCCACGCCAGTGCGTTCCATGTTTGGAGGTCCCATCGATGCCTGGCCTGGTACTGGAGGACTGGTGGGCCGACGAGGTTTCGTCTTGCTCACGGTGTGGAAATCTGTTGGGCCCATGGAATGGATATGTCTCGCGTACGTGATCCACAGAGCATAGACAAGCTCGGTGACAGCTATCGTACCACTGCTGCTATCTTCCGAGTTGGCATTATCACCAGAGGCCTCTTTTGGTGATTTGGGAAAGATGGTACCGCTCTTGACCACCCGCAGCTGAACGTCCACCGAAATAGTCGATCCATCGCGGTGGGTGGCCGTGATACCACTGGGCTCTGAGAAGACCGATGCGACATTATGCCTTCCCTGGCGAAGAATTGACAAAGTCCGTGCTCTTCGGAAGCTGGGCTCCGGAATGATCACTCCATCCACCAAGGGAACATTCTCTTCTTCAGTAAGCACTTGAAGAAGGTTGTCGAACCCAGGTATCAAATCGTTGATATGCCGCCCTTCAGGCCGTTCTTGACCAAACAATGCCGACGAGAAGACCGAGTTGGAGCTGATAACCTTCAATGTCGACGACGCCAATACCATCATACCCGCCACGTGAGGGAAGCTCGATATTCTCAGACAATCAGGGGTGTCCGTTTTGGCCACGGTAGTAGGAAAGCAGATGCCCGCGGACGTTGTAGCCGCAAAATGTTTCATCTCCGAGATTTTGGTGATCCCCCTGTCGACTGGACTTTCTAAACAATCCTTCGGCAAACGAGGGAGCAAACCAGTGATCAGGCTGCCGGTTTTGACGACGCCTTCGCCCCAGATCTTATCAACGTCACCGTAGGCTGCTGCGATGTGCCAAGATTTGTCACAACGAACATAGGCGACATCCTCTTGGATCTCCTCGACCACCCATATCAGGCCTCCACGCTTCTCCATGACCCAAATGCTAGCCGAGCCTGTCGCGCCGTCACGCTTCCGTATCGGAACCACGTCACCACAGAGCAATACGCCGCGGGACTTTGTAGCCGGATGGTTGAGATTTCGAGAAGGACGCGTGCTCGATCCATACCCGTCGTCCGTTTGGGCCTTTCTTACTCGCGAAGGAGGCTTTCTCAGGAGCTGCGCCGTGATGCCGTTGCCCATTCCCATGCGTTGTGTGTTAACTGGCTTGTTGTGCGGTCTATTGGGCGACGTTTGGAGCTTTGCGGCCACATCAGTAGAGGGATCACACAGCTTTGACTCAAGCCACTGCCATTGGTCTTTCTGTACGACTTCCAGAATACTTAGCCTGCGGAGTTCCGCTTGGGTGACACCGAATATGAGGCATGACAAGTCATTGGCCGCCAGAATAGTCCATGGTGCATGCGACTCGGTCCTAAAAACTGCCTGGGAGACTGGGGCCCATTTGCTGCTATGGGTGTGTAAGGCGGGTACAGGAAAGCCGAATCCAAAGGTCGAGGAGCTTGGTGAAAAAGATTCCATGGCCGAGTACGGTTGTGCTAGAGTCCCCATCAGCTTGCTCTGGAGAGAAACAGAGCTCAGATCCGAGTATGTACGTTTTAAGCTTACGCGCCTCGACGTGGGAGTCGATCGTCTCCCCCGTTTCTGACTCGATATATGGTCGTTTGGCAGGGGACTGAACGCGCTGTGGGAATCGGGGTTGGGGCCTGCCTCCGGGGGTCGGGGCTTGGTCTCGTTATCCTGAGGATTTGAAAAAGCTTGTTCGAAAATGTTTGCCGAGTCCACAACGGCAGGGCCTGTCACTGGGCCCCTTGCAAGGCCAGTGTAACTGGAGTTATGCTCTTTACCCAGGACGTTTGACTTGGACAAGAGATCCACCATGCTTTGGACTTCGGTATCGCCAGTGACGCGAGCCTGCGCGTTGACGGCGGCATTGCCCGCAGGCCACCCAAACCGGTCACGCATAAAATCGATCGATCGTTTCAGGATGTTCTGCCGGTTGTGAAGCAATTCCTCCGACTGCTGGGCAAAGGAAAAGGAGTGCAATGATTCGCAAGGAAAGCGATGAAGGTCCTCCAACGCATGGTCGTCTATCGATGAAGCCTGTAAGGATTGTTCTCGGGACATGGACCGGGACCGGGGAGACGGGGACTGGCTTTGCGAAGACGTAGGGGCTAGCGACGAGGAGGAGATATTCGGGAGGGTCAAGACTCGTGTAGGCTGTTGTTGGCGTATGCGATCTAGACCGGATGGGCCAAGACCGTGATCATGTTCGATTATGGACGACCTGCCGGCAAAAGAGTTCGTTCTCAGCAACTCTGCTTTGCACGAATGCGAGTGGATCCACCACAAGCAAGGAGATCTTCCCGTCCACTTCGTGTCCCTGACTTACCTCGAAAGGTGGTCATATCCAGGGGGTAGGGTCATCGAATCATCAATGGCGCCGAAAGGATCAGATTCAGGCGACTCCGAGAGGGGTCCCAGAGGGGTAGACAATGGACTTGGTTCGCCTGTGGTGAGGAAGATAGGGTCAGCTTGGTGGATTCATCTTTTTTTGGTTGGTTTGGTCTGTTCATAGGATTGATGTCGCACGGGACCATGCACATCTCCGAGCGATGGGGCGGTGATCGCGGATTTGAAACAGACATGACGAACGGCCCCTCTGCCCCTTCTCCAATTCGTTCTTTTGGCGGTTGGCGGCCTTTCTTGCCAGGGGCATTGTGATCGGTACGATCGTACACACCGAGGTATTTTCCCAGCTGGTATACGACCGGGGGTATTCCAAAGCGATAGGTAGAATGAGCAAGGAAAGCCCAGCTCGCAGGCTCAATGAACAAATACGAAGGACAGAACGAGGCAAGGGGAGAGAGCACGACTAACCATCGGAATCATATGAAGTCGCCCCCATATTTTCCCCAGCAGCGATGGTAGGGCGACCAGCACCGGTCGGACCGATCAGAAGCAGATGGCTCAAAACGGCTCCACCGCAAGGATAAAGAAGGACAAGGCTAAGGAAGGATTGGTGGCGATATTTATTGCTACATGGAATGACGAGAGGGGGGTAGGCTGCACGTAGGCTTGGTGCGGACAGGGTATAATCAAGCTCCAAGGTCTTTCGCGGGACGTCGGCGCACTGGGGCTGGCGAACCGGCTGGCTGAGGTGATTGACAGTGGTGGTTACTGCGATCAGATAATAATAAATACAGCCACGGAGGTGCTCCGCGTGCTTTCTTTCTCTCCCTTTCCTTTATGCGTGGTTTCGATTGTGCTCCGCGAAAGGACGGGGAATGATTCGGTCAGCCGCACGGGGCAGAGGATTCAACCAGTGACAGCGGTTGGGAACGGATGTCGAAGAGGGCAGCTGGTAGATGAGGTCACAGGGCTCCATCCAAGAACCAGGCGACCACGCGAGAGAGAGTTTGGTGTCGCAAAGGTTCGGAGTCAGAGAGGCATGTAGGTAGGTAGCAAATGACGGTCAAATGAGGCCGGTGTCCATGGGCGGGAGAGGGAGGGATTCCCACGAGACTGTCGGCGAGCGAGGTGACTGTAGATCGAACAGACACTTACGTTGTGAAAGGAGGAAGATGGGGAGGAGCAGAAGGCAGAGCGCAGATGTGGAGAAGGAAAGGGACAATTTGGACAAGTGCGAAAAATTAATGAGTGAAGGAGGCTGAAGAAGCCGTGATCGATGATCTGTGTCGCCGTTTCGCTGGGCGGTGGTTGGTCGGTTGCTTGGAATTTGTGGTCGGGAATTCTTTTTTCTTTGCTGTTTTTTATTATTAAGAACCGAGGGGGTGTTGGTACAGACTGTATAGGTCTGTAACGAGGACCGGGGAGAGCTGAGGCAGTGCTGGAAAGGGGGAGTAAGTCGGGGCGCAAGAGAAAAAAATCGATGCACGGAGGATGCGAGCGAGAGGAGAACGAGAGAAATGAAGCAGAATGATACTACATAATCAGAATGGGTCGACAGGGGAGTACTTCGGTGGTGATGTAATGCAACTGATTGATTACTACTCCGACGAGGCACACTCGAGCATCACACACTCGCATCCCACCGATGACCAACCGAACCACGGATCCAGTGTCTCGGTCTGCCGTCCGTCGAGGTGCTGTCATTCGCTTGGGCTAGTTACTGCTTAACACGACGCACTACCGCCGAAGATCCTCTAGAAGGTCTATCTTAAGGAGCACTCAATCAAGAAGTAACTACGACTATCACCGTCGAGCTCGACGATCAACGGCGTCGATCCGAGACCTCTCTCCTCAACGTACACGTATCGCCAGCTCGCCAGCTTCACCGTAGGCCTTGGAAATCTCGTCTTGAACAGCACGAACGTAATCGTCCGGAGAATTCGCTGCGTCCAACCCGCTGATCGATTAGCACTTTTCTTTCGAGGACCCATCATGACACGCACGCGCGTTAGTCCTATTGGGATGATCCGCCGACAGAATATTCTTTCCAGATGGAAGACACACCCAATCTCCCGGAATTGCCTAGATGGGTGATCAGTTTTGGGCATTGACGGTACAGATATTACCTCGTAGGTACCGACCGTTCTTCAACATTTACCCAAGGTATCGGCAGACATCCTGAGTAAAATTCTTGTATTCCGTAGGTATATTTAATCATGCATACGCTATGTACTAGGTATATTATTCATAACAGCATTGACAGGTCATTTATCAGAGAAGGAAAAAGAAATCATCGCGGGGATCCTGTTACCGGGTATATCGGGTTCAATACAAAGTCGATTGCCACATAACCACACCCTAACAGAAAAGTTCGGGGCTCTCTCAACCCTTACGACCTCGAAGGCTTCTTAAGGCGAGCCCGTCCGGTTCAGTCGGAGATTTCTTGGGACCCTCATCTCCATTGCCGAAGAGGGAACTGGGGTTGGCCCTGGCCTCGCCGTGCCGAGTTTGCTCGGGCGGCACAGATGCCGGACTGACAAAACTAGAAATGTGTCGGCTATCCCCGAGCATCCATGAGAATTCCGAATTCGCCAATGATGGGCGGGCGGTTGGGCGTGGAGGCAATGAGGTGGGGATTTGGGCTTTACCGCGGGTCTTGGGCTCGTCTCCAAGGGGCGACTTCGACCCTACTATCCGATTCGTAGCCACAGGCGAGTGTTCTTTTTGCGCAGGAGCTGCGATTTCGCCTTTGTTGTCCATTTTCGGGCAATCGGAAGGAGCTTCCGCTGCTACATTCATTTTACCAGACGTGTTTGACGACGGTGGGTTTTCGGATTCGAGAGTCGCGGATGGATCCTCAAGACACGTCTGGACGGATTGCATCTTGGCGAGGGCCTCTTTCACCGAGTCTTTCGTCGCATTGTCGAGTCCGTCGGCTTTCATCATCAGAGTGCGCATCTCATTGAGGGCCTGGCTCAGCGTTCTGGCGAGGGAACGGTTTCGTTCTTCCAAAGCGTCGAATTTGTCCTTCATCTGGGCAGCGATCTCGGACCCGCGACGATGATGAGTGTAAGAAGTAGGCGCGGATGTGACAGTGTCAGATCTCGCAGTACGTGCGTGCTCCGCTTGAATCGTTTGCATATTCCTCTTGGCTTCACTCACGGCGCCTCGCACGGCTTTGGCCACGCCCCAAGATTCCGTCCGACGTTGGATACCTTCGGAGAAATCCTGAAGAAGAGCTTCAAGACTCTTAGGACTGTTTCGCGCAGGAGACCTAGAGGGGGAACTAGCTTCACTGGCATCCCGGAAGTCGCTGCGCATATGAGGTTTCCGGCTCTGTAGTGCCTTTGTGTTCGACATGTTGAGTCGCTTGGACATATCAGGGAGGTTTTCCAGAATACTTGGAGAGGATAAACGCCCCCC